GTTACTTATGGTTGGAGACTAATGCCAAAGTTGGAGTTAGACTGAATGGCCTATGAAACAGAAATGAAATGAATCAGGATATCATCCTATCAGTTTGTCAATCTATTGATTTCTTCATTGCTAACCTAGTCTTCCAGCAATCAAAACAACACATATACATGCACATAATCTATATACATAGATGTCACAGACAAATCAAATCAACTATATTATTGGTACAGAGAGATAGAATAGCAAGGTTGTGGCTAACTGCTGATTATGGAATAGATCAGGAGTGTCAAACTCAATTTCATTGAGGACCACATCAGGGTTGTGTTTGACATCAGCGGCTGGGTGGGCATGGCCAGCTCGACATCACTCGTGTCGGGTGGATGTGGTGACATCGAGCACTTTGCCAATGAAATGGAGTCGTGAGCTCCATTTTTGCTGCCAGAAGGTTGCAGGAGAGCATTGCAGGCAAAAATGGTGGCCCTCCTGAGCTCCATTTTCGCTGGCAGAGTTACCGCGGGCAGGTCCTTCGCTGTTTCCAGGGCGGCCTCATGGGCCAGATCTAAGCACCCCGCAGGCCGGATCCGGCCCACAGGCCTTGAGTTTGATACCCCTGGAATAGATCATGAACCACTGATGTGCAAGCTCCAAGTCCAGTTAATGCAGATTCAGTGTCTCTGATATGAATTTGAGCATATACCTTTAATTTTCAGAAAATGCTATTAAGTCACAAAGATGCAAAAAACAGCAGTTTTGTGTTTTTAACTGTTAATTGTATAAATATTATAAGTCACCCAGGGTCTTCTGCAGTGAGCAGACGTAATAAATATACATACAGGCAGTCTGAAGAGATGGAAAGCAGGACTAGCTGGGAATTTCAATACTCAATTTACAACCACAGTTGGGAGACAGAATTTCCATTGCTAAACAAGGCAGTTGTTGAGTAAGTGGCATCCAATTATATGACTTTTTTTGCCACTGTTGCTAAGTGAATTACTGCAGTTAAATGAATCAGTCACTAAGTGAATCTGACAGCCCTTACTGATTTGGTTGTTGAAAGCCAGTTTGGAAGGGTCGCAAATGGCAATCACATGATCCCAGGATGCTGCAACCATTATAAATACATGCCGGTTGCCAAATGCCTGAGTACGATCTGGTTGTAGCCAGAGACAGATGCAGGTGAAAGACCTCAGTTGCATGATCTACCGCTCAGTGACTGAGAATGCTGAATAGATGATTTGTTGGTCGAACAGGATTCTTCTTCTGTAAGTCTGCAAGATCTTCAAAATCCTGTTCCACAGTGTTCATCGTTTATTACAAGTGAATTTGACAAGATCACCAAAAAAGGCCTTTTTAATGGTTGCTCTGGTTCTGGAAGTTGCTGCTTAAGATTGCCCATCTAAGCCTCTATGCCAGGGGTGTCAAACTTGCATTGTTATGTGACGTATTGCGACTTTGTTCCCCTTTGTTAAACCAGGCGTGGGTGTGGCCAGCATGTGGTGCATCTGGCCTGTGGGCCAGGAGTTTGACAGCCCTGTTCTATGCAATAACCTTCATATGGGGTATATACCCAGGGATTTTGCCTGTTAGCTGATTGCTTTTTCTGCCTGCTGGGGATAGTGGATGATTTGAAAGCCACCTGCTACTAATTTTAAATTGCTTTCTTTATTGGTGAACTTCATTGTGGACTTCTTATGGTAAGTATGGAATAAAAATGCAAATGAGCAAGTTTTATTCCCAATTAAGTGGGCAGAGAATTACAGCCATAGAACATAATCTTATCTGCTCTTCAGAATCTCTTTTCCTTTCTTCCACCCTTTGACTTTATCCCTGCTCCATCCCTTCCTGCCTTCTGTTCATTTTGTCATCTTGCCATAATTCATTCTTCCCTCTACCTTTCTCCATCTTTTCCTCATTTTGTTTCTCCATCTTTCATTTCTGATCTCCTTCCTTCTCTTCCCATCTCTGATTATTTTAATCTTTAGTGCCCTTGCCTCTTCCTCTTATTTTTTCCTTTCCTTCCATCTTCATTTCTTCCCCTCTCCCTCCCCCCCTCTCTCCTCCCTTTCTCTGCCAGTCTTTTTCTCCTTCCTCTCCCTTTCCATTGTGCGCACAATATGGATCATTTATTTGTACGCTCTGCTGGAAAACTTCAGAATTTTCAGAATACTTCAGAGAGTATTGGATATTAAAATATATGAAAATTCTTGCAGCGATGAAGGAAACATTAAAATGAAAGGGAATGTGAGGCCAAGCACAAATTATAGTACTCTAAATTGCAAAATGAAAATGGAGATTCAGTATGACCACAAAATCAAGATAAATCTGTTATTCAGAAAATCAATAGTCCTTTATTTTGGATTTATAGAATAGCTATTACTAAATATCTCTGCACAATAAATCAGAGGAGATAGGGCAGAGAGAAAACATATTTCACTATCTCCTTAATTGTGTTCAATTTTAAATAGCTGTTTTAGTAGTTTATGGTAAAAAGCCATGTCATCATGCTTAAAACTTATTGCTGATTCTGTCTTAGTTTTGATAAAGTGGTACTGATCCTTGGCAGAAAAGTACCACCGCTCCCTCTAATTTTTACTTATTTATTAATACAATTTAGTAGGACTGAATATGCAATTGTTGAAAGAGGACAGCAAAACAGCACAATGGCTAAGCCACAATTAGCCTATCAATGTAATAAGGCTCCTAGGTTGGATAATTAGAAAGTTTAAACTGAGCTGAGTGATCCTGCAAGCAGAACTCAGATCCCAGAACAGATTAAAAGTAAAATGAAAGGAGACATTTTTTTCAAAGATGTCATGGTACTGTTTACTGTACCTGCTTTTCCCACAGACCAATGAAAAGCACTTCAGATATTACACGGTAAATACATTTTACATTTCTGAAGCCCTTGTTGTAACTAGAAATAATGGTGGATAAAAATAGTATACTGCTCATATATTGCAGTAACACCTTCAGGTGTAAACTATTACCTGTCTTTTGCCCTCCTTTTCAATATATTATGAAATGATTCGCAAATGATATATTATAAAAAGATTATACATTTGTAGTATATATAAATGCATGCAGGTAGAGAAATATCTAGAGTCCAAAAGTGAAAATAATGATTCTATAGAAGCTGCATAATTATTTCTCTGCTCTGGATTGAGCTCCCATATTCTCCAACCAGTTGTCTAGGTTAAAATGGGACTACTTAGATTATGGGAATTAATCAGACACTTTGATATAACACATCAGGTGTGGGTAGACCTTTACAAGGTAAAAAACAGCAACAGAAAGTTACAGTAGGTTTCGTCTAAAGAACCACATATTTATTATAGCACAAGCTTTTATGAACCTTCCAGAAACTCTTGTAATGTCAGATTTTTTGCTTTGGATCCAAATTATGTTAAGCCTGCTTGATGTAGAGTTGAGCAATATTTGCATAAAAATGACTTATACAAAGGACTTTTCATTTTTCAGTTGGGATAATAGCTGTCCAAAGCTTGCTACCATTCACTATTTTGGGCTAGGAATTAGCTGTGTCTGAACACTGATAGCTAGTAACACAACTGGATTTTTACCTGTTTTTAAAGAAAAGCAGTAGTATGATAACCATTCCCCTTTAGTTTTGCAATGTTTTGTCACATAAAGAATTCACCAGTTAAAGTACTCCAAAAGGATAGTTATCAATGGAATTCACGTATTGTTCAGACTTGTTAGTTTTGGCAGCTTTCAGGTGGAATTTGTAGCTGGATTATCCTGCAATTTCATGCTTCAAGGTATTTGGTAGAAATTCATGAGCAAAGCCAAAGGAGAGAAAGGCATGCCTACAAGAAGTCATACAAACGTAGCAGAGGAATAAATCAATTTATTCTATATAATTTCAAACAGCTGATCTTAGGTCTCTACTACACATTTTATGAAAATTGTAGCAAATTTCCAAAACATCCGTGTGTACTTTTAATGCCGTAAGTCAAATTGATTTTCCTAAGTGCAGACCACAATTTTGAGAACTGAAACTGCAATAGGAATCAATTTCTATTGAGGGAGCTTGTTATGGCTGTAGTAACCAAAAGCAATCGAAGCATTTCTGAAGCTTACCTGAAACCATTTACTTTAGTGCAGGGACTTGTAGATGTATAGACCACAAATATGATTATTAGTCCAATACCAAGACTATTCTAAGGAGATACAACTTGGTACGAACACTACTAGGCATTCCAGAGTTCACATGTTGCCCCAGATCATGTAAAGATGGAAGCACTGAAATTTGGCAGCAAACAACTTAATATTCACGGATATTTCTTTTTTTTGTTCCCAAAGATAAAAAGTGTGTGTTAAACTGAGGTGTAGCAGATCTATTTTTCCCCTTCTCTCAAAAGCGGAACATTTTCAATTGTCTCTCCAGACATACTCCCTGTGTCCTTCCAGAAATAAATTTTTGGAAAAAAGAAAATGATAATATCATCTGCAGTCTCAAAAAGATTGTCTGCTTCTGTGTCAAGTTTGCTTTGTAGATTTGAATAATTTTGATTATTCAAAAAAACCATGCCCGAATACACTAACTGCTTAGTATAGTGTGTGAATGTGAATGATCAGCTTGCAGTGAAAAACCTGGTATGGTGGTTTTTATTGCCAATATTCAGCAGATATTAAAACTCATAGCAGATTTAAATAAAGAACCAAAAAAATCCCCCCAGGTTTCATGGATAAGATTGATACTGCAATTCTTACTTGGAATAAAAAGGGATTTGGTTTCTGGTGCACTACTTTAAAGCTTTATTGGGTCATGGAATTATGTCAAGCAACTAATGATATTAGTGGGAAACCGATTTACAAGCCGAGGAAGCCTGTATTTTCAGTTTTAGAACTGAATCTGCCATGAAATAAAGCAAGTCTTGATGTGTCTCCTGGGTTATGGCAGAATTCTGCACTCCCCCTAAAAGCCTGCACAGTTTACAAAGTTTATTCTTCTCCTTAAATGTTTAAAGAAGCAACAAACACTTCAAAGCTTTCATTTTAGTCTTTTTATTAAAAATTCTAAATAGTCTTTAAAAAACAAAAACAAAATGCTTAATCAATGCTATGGTAACCGTTTGTACATGCACAGTTAAGGTGCTAAAAACAAAATAAAACTGAGTAGGACACTGGCTTATTGTACATGAGGAATCAAATCTACAAGGAGTTTAGTGCAAGTTGAATTGTTAGCATTGGAGATCAGGTACCATGCTGGTGTACTCAAATCTATCTCTTATTCTCAAATCTCAATTTCAGATAAAGGTAATAAAACTGATTTTTAAAAAAGAAACATTAACAACCCCCCTCTACGCAATAACAGCATTGATTGGAAGTACTAGAATTTGCAAAGAATTTTCCTGACAGAAATTATAAAAAAAAGCCAACCCTTCCCCTGTTTGAAAACAGAGGAAGTAAACAATCTTTTCTTTAATCTGCTACTTCATTTTGGTTTTCTGCACTGGCAAAAAGTAGCTTATACCTATCAAGTCATTTTATACAAATTACAACATTAAATGCAGGTGTTTTGTGCTAAGGTTGAACTATTTTTTTTTCTAGAACAAAGACTTATCTTCTCTACCTAACTACGCGAGATCTGACAGAAACTGGCTTAATTACTAAATTGTTCAATATTCTATATCTGTTATAGTTGCAACATTACCTGCAACAGTGACATAATCAAATCAAAATTGGGGAATGGGCAAATGATGCTTCTCAGCAAGGGGAACAAATGGGAGCCCAGATGCCATTCTACTAAAACTAGTTCATGTGTCATTTTAAGTCAGTTTTCTTTATATATAAAGAGCCACAAGAGTGATCTGCATAATTTATATTCAAAATTGGACATAGATTTTACATAACACCATTCCAAGGATGCATGTCCCAGTCAGTTAAAAGAAAAACTCCCAAGTAACAAGCTAATGTTAAATATAGCCTAATTTTTTTGCTTGGTGTCATTTTGCAAAAGAGAAAAACAAATTCTTTGTAAAACCAAAGATTAAGTCTATTGCAATTACAAAAAATAAAATAAAAAGCCTTCTGCTGATAATAAACCCTCAAACTGTTTGGTTTATGGTGACAGCATTGCTAACAGAGGACATTATTTATTGTACATAAGAAAGTAAACTGAAGAATAGATTATATTATAAATAAATCTATTTCCACAGCTCCTGAATGGGGAGGAAAAAATAGATGCTTTGGGTCTAGCAGTTTCAGGTATGCAAGATGGAGCCCAAAGTGGCAGAAATGCCTTGGAGTTTCTAGAACCACTTGGATTGTGTTTTATTAATATTCTTTAAAAGTACTTGAGATTGCAAATTAATTTTTATTTGTTGATAAAAACATACTGTATTAAGGCCAGAATTTTCTATTTTGGCCACATCAGTCCCAATGAAAAACATTCTAGTTTTGAGAAGTTGTACAGGTCGACTGCATGATCACAATATATGATTTTCTGCGCACTGTCCAAGTATAGCATTTTATAAAACCACCATGTAAATGTTTTATCCAGCACTACTTAAATATGGTTAACTGAAGAAAAATAGGGGGGTCAGGCAAGCTGCCTGAGGAGGTAGGATGATTTTGAAAAGTGCTTGCTTCATTGAGCAATGAAGGTGGAAAGATATTCATTTACAGGCATTTGCCCCAATTTCAACAGTTGAGAAGTGGAGATACCCCAATAGAGTTTTTTTTAAGAAGCAGCACTGGTTGGCATATAAATCTCAGATTTAAAAGGTAGGTATCTTAACAGACAATTAGTGGAAAAAAAGAATGTGGCAGTTGTTTTGTCTGCTGCTTTCCTGCAAGCAGCTTTGACATATAGCTACGGGAAGTCTCTTGGCTCCATTCTGCCTTACATTAATAGAAAAAGGCAGTTGATATGTAAGCTTTGACTAGAATGTAGAAGCAAACTATGTTGCTATTTTCTAGGACAATTTTTTTTCTGAGTGAGTTAAATCTATGGGAATCCATGCTGACTCAAATTGTAAACACATTAAGAAAAAAATATTTTATTAGATCTTTTAAAATTTCTTAAAATTCTACAGATATTTTCCCCTAACAGACATTTTTATTTTTGCCTATTTTGAATTACGTAGTTTGGGGACTGCTGTATGCCAAGAACAAAGAAAAAAAAAAACATTGCTGGATATTTAATAATTGTGTTGCCTTATAGTTAAATCAGATGTTTGTTGCACTGATTGAATTATGTATAGTGTATGTGTGTGTATGTATGTGTATATATATATATTAATTATATTTTTTAAAAAGCAGGAATTGTGCAAAAACCCAAGCAGATTCTAGACTGGAGGTTTAACTTGTCTTTCCCCAGTTCTGATCGAACAGTCCCACTTCTCTGAAGTTGGTACAGGTGACCTTTGTTATCTGCAATCCATTAGTTATGGTTGGTAAATACAGATCACATTTTATTATTTGCAAAAGGATTGGATAGCTTTGATCTTTGATACATTATTCTATTTGGAAGATTTCTAGAGTATTTTTTAATGGAGGGAGGTATTTAAGCGTGCACAAAATAATGGCGGCCTTTGCTCATGAATAAAGTACACTTCTTCAAAGTCTTGTTCTGCACAATTTTGTTATCAATGGCTGTTAGACTGGAATAGAACCACCACAAATAACAAGGGCTACCTGCATTATATTTACATTTTATGGAAAACTCCCTTGATATTAATATTTCTCTTGAAATGAAAATATTGCAAATTTTGCTAGAACAAGGACAGGAAAAAAAATCCTTGCTTACCATGGTTTGGATGCTGTTCAGGCTTCCTCATAATTATATTCTCATAATTAACATTATCTTGATCCCAGTTGATTTTAAGCTCCTAATCAAGTTACAAAGTGGCTGATCTGGCACTTCACAATTTATAAATTAGAATTTAAAATAATACTAAGCCTAATTCTTGTAGCTCCAAAGTATTTCAGCACCGGTTACTTTTCTTGATGAACCAAGAATGAAATGGTTTGTCATTAAATTCAGATACCTAGCATATGTTCTCCACTGTATATATAAAAAGTTGATATAAGGGAGGGTGCATATTAAGAAAAAGAAGCAGAATAATAATTTTCCAGCAGTAGTATTAGAGCAATAGATGAGGTAGATTTAAACACACACAAGTGCTTCCTTAACTCATGCCAATAGCTGCCTTAGAAAAATCAAGTTCACTGTCCAAGACAAGCATGGGCAATGTTTTAATTAAGAACTGTAGGTTTGCATATTTAAATTGCTCATGTGCATATCATTCATAAGTGTGAATGAATACAAAACTATAGCTGGTTACACTGCAGTTAAGAACTCATTGCTTGTACTTTTAACTTGGAGGTAAAACCCATTCTATTTAATTGGTCTTACATTGTCTTGTACAATAAATTTTGAGTTGCATCTTCAAATGAGAAAAATCCCTATTCTGGAATTATAGTCTCACTGCTGTTAATCTTGAATTGGTCCCTAAATATCAAAGAACTTTGAAATAATAAGCTGAAAACTAGTGCTTCGCAATTGGGCAGTTGAATTCAAAAAGCTGCTTACAATAGTAGACTGAAGGGTTTGGCTGCATTTGTTCTTCTGGTTTCCATATGCATATCTTGAGTTTGGAACTGAAAATGATCGAATTCAACATTTTCTCCTCAATGACTATCTGCAGAGCTCAGCAAATATTCTTCATAAACAGGATAACAGATTATTCTAAGTACTTATTATTTTATGGATCCTCTTGCCCTTCATTTCTCAAAAAATTATCTCAGATTCTTTGAAAGAGGCAATTAACACTTTCCTCCCAAAATGTCCTAGAATAGATATAGGAAGAACCGTTCAAGGCACTGATGCTGAAAGAATTGAAGCATGGGGGAATTTTTGTAATATTCCTAAAGGCTACAATAGTTGCTATATTAAAAAATCAATTTCTCTCCTATTCAATAAGAATTTTGAAGGTGTTTAATTCCGTTTGATAATTAAGAACCAACTCCACTTTGCTTTTCTTTGAAAACTAGTAGTAAATTGGAATATTTTCTATCAAAACACAAACAAGAAACTTTACACTAAATGTTGATAAACTTCCTCCCTCTCCATCAAGACCAGAATTTAACTTAAGAGCCAACAATATTAAGACTTTTGCTATTTTTTTCTTTTGTTGTATTCCCAATGCATTCACTAATAATCTCTGATGTCCTCTATATAGTTTTTAATATGCAGCCTACATTCTGTACCTCAGGAGAACAACTAACTAGTTTATTATTTTATTAAAATGGAAAAAAGCAAAACAGATATCTCCCTCTCCCTCCACAAAAAAGCAAACCCAGTCTTCTACTTTGGGAAACTTTTCACAGAGCCTTCGTAGTATGACACTTATAGATGCATAGGGATTTTTAGAAACGATGGGGAAAACATCAACAAATAAATATAGTAGCCAATCTTAAATGCATCCACAATTAACTTGTAGAATTGATCAACAACAGACTTGCTTAGAGGCAGTCTTTCTAAGAAATATTGAGCTACAGGAAAAAGGTACTGACCGAACTGGGTGCCATTCTGGCTGAAAAGAGGAGTAAAAGCTGATATATTATTTTGATAAGAAATGGATGCCGTTCATTTAAAAATAAGTGTGAGATGGGAAAAGAAGTGCAGATCAAGCGCTGGTCCCATCTTCTTCAATAACTCGGTTCATGCTGGTGCCATGAGTTATGTGAGTTACTGGATTTCCACTGAGGTCTCTGGTGCTACTGTGACGTGACTGATCATTGAGCCGATGGGAACTGCTATGCCTGGAGTGGTCAGTCAATCGGGACATACTGCCATGAGGTAGTCGATCTTCAATTCCACGGTAACTGCAGGGGGTATATCTAATTCATAAAGACTTATCTGTTTTAGTAATACAGATACATATACATTGAAAATATTCCAATTATCTCCCAAATATATAAATTAGATAAACAAAACTTAGAGTTTAATCCAAACATTTTCATTTGTAGGACTATCATTTTTCAGTAAAAATACTTTTAACATATTTTATTACTTCTTTGTAATACTGGTTCCACTTTTAAGCATACTTATTTTATATTCACAAAGGGACAAGTTAACCATGGATAATCTCACAATAAGAAACTTGCTGGATGGGGCCAAATACTTATTTAGCTCACTGTTCTGCATTTTACAATCATCTATCAGATGTGTCATATAAGCCTATAATAAGAATATAAGGGCAGCAGTTTTTCCTCACTTCTGCTTTCTAACAAACAAATTTTAACCTTACTCTGAATATAGCATACCATGAGAACTGATGATCACTGATATTTTCCATGAATTCTTTTTCTTTTAAAACCATTCCAATTATTCTTTCCTGTTATTTTATTTATTCATTCATTCAAATACCTTAATATTGCCCAGCTCAATCATGACAGTTTACATAAGATAAAACGGCATGAGTAATACAAATACAAGCAAAAATGAAAATAACAATAGCTCCCATGTATATTGATTATTCAAATAAATCTGAATGCCTGCTCAAAGAACTCCTTTCTCTTCTAGAAAACTGGGAGAATGGATGTCAGGGAAACCTTAGGGGCAAAATGTTCCAAAGCATGAGTGTCATAACAGAAAATAAGGGTCTGGATTCTCATGGGAACATAACTGACATCCTTCCCCTGCATGCATGCATGAACAAGGAAAATGCTACTTGGAGGAGATAGTCCCTAAGGTGCTCTGGAGCCAAGTCATATGGAGCTTTAACAGTCAAACCAGTACTTTGAATTAGATCAGAATCATATTGGCAGCTGTAACCCCAAGAAACTAGTATAAAACCAAGACAATAGCACTTACCTGATAGCGGCCTGGTCACTGCATTTTGTACCAATTAAAGCTTTGGAATCATTTTCAAAGATTGCCTCGTATAAAGCATGTTATAATAATCTAATTATATGGTGACTAGCACATGACTCTCTTGTCAGAACAGTTTGATCCAAATAAGGCAGAAATTGGTGCACCATTTTCAGCTGAGTGAATATCTTTCTGTTCATGCATTCCACCTATGATAGCCATCTCCTTTAGAAGGGCTACCACCACTCATATTTGGAGATGGAACCATCATGCAAACATTTCTGGACAAGTATCAACTCTATCTTTGTTCCTATCTTTCCAAAGGTAGGGTTAAAATTATTACTACGTCTCCAATTCATTCTGGGGTACAATGTAAAGTTGAGAATCATCCGGATATTGAGAAACTAACAGGTGACCTCTTCCAGCAACTTCTTATAGATGTTAAAAAGAAGAGAAGGGAGAGAAGGGCCATATAGTAACCTATGCTACAGCACATATCAGGTCAACAGCTCATTCCCCAGCAATACTGACTGGAGCTACCTACTGTGATATAAATGAATCTTCAACCCTCAATCATTATAGACAGTCCAATAAGATACCATGACCAGTCTAATAGAACTAAGAGAGCCTCCTTTAAGGTTCCAACACAGGTTCTTCACCAGAGTAAGTAAGCAATGCTCTCTGTTATTTAGGTCTGGGTCTGAGCCTAACTGAAAAGGATCTAAATATCCATTTCCTCTAGGCCCTTTTCAGCAACCAAAGGAAGAAGTTAGAGACAGGATGATAGTTCACAATATGGTTAGATTGAGAAATGCCTTTTTCGAAATGCATTACTGACAGCCATTTAATTAACAGTCCATTCCATCTTCTCTCTACCTGGCTGCCCTCTGGAATGGTTATAAAATGCTCTAGACCTGATTGCTTTCATTAATTAGTTATATATCACTGAATATATTACAGAATGGAATTGCTAAGAATTAGAGCATTTGACTTCCTAATTTGTACTGAATTTCTCTAATGTGGAGATCTTGTAACAGAAGCTCAACCAAAAACTGACTTCCTCAAATGATGTCCTCTAAATATGTTTCAAACATTCACAATGAACTTACATTACATTAGGAATATACCAAGTTAGGGAAAGATAGCTTAAGCCATAGAAAACAACTTGCTAAATTTTATTTCAAATTAGCATACAGTAGGTAGAAGGAAGAATAACTGTATACAATGTTATCATGAGGAACCTTGACTCAATCATTTCCCTTGAATTCATACTGCCCGGGCTTTAATAAGAATTTTTTACACTTTTTTACACTCTGCTTATGTATTTACAGGATAATATTTTAATTTCCTCACCTGCCATCTCGTGACCTATGCAAGCTTCCATGGTAGCTACTGACTTTGCTATGCACACTGCCTGCTTTGCTTCGCTGGTCATCCATCATAGCCAATTGTGTAGAGGATGCATGAGTGGAAGTTCCTTGGGTGGAAGTCCCTCTGGATTTGCGAATTATGGGTGTATTTGGATCTCTCAAGAGAGACTGAGCAAAGTCGGGTTCCTGAAGTACTTGCCGGCTCTCATTAACAACCCTGGTAAATATAAATCACCAAAAGACAAATGGAAGCAGCAGTATGTAGAAGAAGCTAGGCAACAAAAAGCTCTGGCTATACTGCATGAATTCAGAAGTGCATATTTCTGTTATATCTGTATCATTCAAAATTAAGACAATGCATGACAGACAGGTTGAAAGTGTTTAAAAATGACCACTACAATTACAGCAGTTGCATTGTATCATTCCCAGAATATTGCAACCACCAAACAAATATAAGCTATTATGTCTTTGGGCACAATTTGGTCATTCCACATGGCTGCTGTAGACTAGCTGCCATCTAACCAATATAACAAGCTTTGGGGAGGCATGGTATTATGGGGCCTTTAATTGTACCTGACAAATTGGTCCTGGGAATAATGGAGACACTTAATAATAACATTATTACAGAGCCAGCATACTGCCCCCAACAATTTGGGTCCTCATTTTACTAACATTGGAAGGATGGGAAGCTGAGTCAGCCTCAAGCACATTAGGATCGTGCTCCAGATTGTGGACAGAGTTAGCCTGCAATATTGCATTCAGTACTGCAATACTGCGCCACCATGGTTTTATTGCCCATGCTATTAACATTTATAGTTCATAAAATTGCCAAGGAAAGTCACCTTCAGTTTTGGAATGCAATGACATCAGTATATGGCAACCTAACCTTTTTTTTTTTTTACCCCTAAATCCAAAACAGAAGATTTTGGAACTGAGGAGGGGAAACAAACTGAAAACTCAGAAACTAAAATCAATGGAAAATGTATTTCCTGGGCAGAAGAATTCAAGTAATGGGGTTGCATACCTCCTAAAATCAAGTTTATAGTTAGAAGGTGTTTCTGGATTCATTTTTAATTCTGAAAGCACAAGTAGTGGAAGTAGGCAGGTATGACATTTATGGACTTTGGCTTAACATATCAACTAGAAAAGGCAGATTTGGCTTCTCATATATTTCAACCTTCCCCATCTTCCAAGTATATGGACTTCAACTCACTCTTTTTTCCTGCGCCCATGAAAAAAGCTGGCCCATTCAAAGCAAGTCTTTTTACTTCCAACCCAAAAGACTGATGGGATTCCCACTATGAGGGCCATCAGATATTTCATAAGGAAGAGGATCAAGTCGGGTCGACTCATTTGGGTAACCTGTAAAAAAGAGGCAAGTGTAACAAGCAGACAAAGGGCTGCACAGATACAATCCCAGGTATTAAGTCATTTAAAAATAATTACTATAGACCCAAGTGTATCCCAACTTTTTCCTTTATTATCCAAAACTGTTTATCGGTTAAAGGTTTTTCCTTTTTATTCAAATGTAGATAAATCACTTTAAGTCAATTTAAATGTCCCTGTCGTGATTGGGTAATAGGTTCATGTGTCACTACCCAAAGAAAATCCTTGGCAATAGCTCCATATACAACTTCATCCCTAGAACCCTTGCATGAGACATGTAAAAAAAAAAAAAAGAGTTGTTTTCTTGAAATAGCATTCCCAAAACCTTCATTTTTAATTTGTACAATTAATTTAGCAATCATTGCTGGATTGAGAATGGTATTAAATTAGTGAGGAAAAGGCAGTTGTTCATATGGTTCTACAAAAAGGTCTACATGGATACCTTATTTTCAAGCTTCTCATTTATATTAATTATTTTTGTGCTTGAGCAATATTTGGTAAATATCATTCCTCTTCTTGAAATAGAGGGAGTTGGACTGCCTGCACATAGAAATCTGGACGTTTTTTCAAACTTTCAGCTTTGTCAACGCTGTCTGACTCTCTTATGGTTCCAGGACAATGTGGTATAGAAGATATTAGAGAAGGGCATCAAGAAATAGTTAGTCAGTGAAGTGACTATTGAACCTTGTGAACAGAAACTCATCTAAAAATGCAGTGCTATAGTTTGACCTCTATTTCTGCAATTGGTATTGTACAGTGTGTAAGAGACAAACATTCTGTGTAGCCATTAAAAGCTAGAGGTGTTTGTTGGATTTTTGATTTCTCAAATTTCAAATTGCAGCTGCTTCCTTTACCCTCTTATCAATAATTTAAATGACATAATAGAACAGACCAGATGGTGAGAGAACGTGAACAACTATATTCTGAGATCCTTTAAATATTTATCCCTGAAGAATAACTTTACATATAAAAAAAAAGAATGTATTTGGAGTCAAATAGTCCCTAAATTAGATTATGATGCTCCATATCAAGAGAAAAATAATCTGCTAGACTAGGAAGCTTAATTCTCAATATAAAAAGTAAAGCGCAGGATAAAAATTTATATGAAGTCATCAGGGTAGATTTTATTTAAATCACGATTTAAATCACTAGTAAAAAGGCTTGATTTAAATCAACTCGATTTAAATCATAGTTTTTAAACAGCAACTGTCATCTGTGTCCCGCAACAGCTGCTCCTCTGACCCACTGTTGACTCACTGACAGTCCCAATATTGCAGAATATACAGCCTCATGCTACATAACTAAGCTCCATTTCATGCTGAATAAACTAAATTATTAATGTATCTTAAATAGAAAACTATCTTTAGATATATTTTTTACTCCAAAAGCATTTTATTAAAATAAATTTGATAAAAATAAAAAAAATCTGATTTAAATTTAAAAATTCTGATTTTTTTTTTTTAAAAAAAATCATTGATTTTTATCCACCCTGGAAGCCATGGATGAGATCATCCACCACCATGGAGAGAGGTATGATCTGCATGTATACCTTTTTGCCCTGGTGACTTAAAAGGCACTGTTGATGTTCTATTCCAATGACTGGAGGCTGTGGGGATGAGGAACAACAGATTTCAGCTAAACTCTGGCAAGATTGAGTGGCCCTTTGTATTTGTACCCTCTAGCTCAGGGATTATTATGCCTCTTTGGACTTTATAGGATTGCACTTGTCAGGCTCATTCCAAGAATGACAGAACAATCCAGTCAAAGTTCAGTTCCTTATTTCTTTGTACTCAATAGATGGAATTTAGCCAGATTACACCTTACCACAACAGACATACCCTGGCAGACTCTAGGGAGTGGCTATCCTAATTCTCTTCCTCTGTCTCCTATCAAGCTCAATGGTTGTATGGCCTCTTGTCTCATCCCTCTCCTTGGAATATGCCACACCTCCTTCCTGAGAAATTGCTATTTCACTATAGTCCATCACAACACTATCCCCCTGTAGGCACCTTTCTTCTCAGCACTGTCCCAAACAGACCTGATATGCAATTTGGGGCAAGAAGGGCTTCTGCAAGCTTCATGTTGTTTGCCAATCGTGTCTATTGCTGGACCAGTAGGCTCTGCTTACAGTCATTTATCACCCCCCAAGTAGACTACTAGAATCTCCTCTACATGGAGCTGCCGGTAGATAGCATCCAGAAGATTCAGCTGATGCAGAATGCAGTGGCACAGGCAGTTATGTCTGTTCCTTAGAACAGCATGTTACATTCCTGCTCTTTGAGTGGCATTGATTGCCAGTTTACTTCTGGGTTCAATTCAAGGTGATGTTTTTGACCTTTAAAGACTTTCATGGCATGGGGCTGGGTTGAGGGATCACTTTCTCCCACTTATATCTGCCCATTTCATCAGGTCACAGATCTGCTGTGGAGGCCATCTGTGAAAGAGTTTCATCTGGCAGGACCCAAGAGACATGCCTTTTTTTGCCATGGTATCCATCCAGCGGTGAAATCCCCCTGCTTCTATCTGGCTCAATGAACCGGTAGCGCTGGCGGTGGGAGGCTCCGCCCACCCACCGGGATGTCATTATGTCCCTTTTTATACCATCTGAGCATGTGCAGAAGAGGCGCATGCACATAGCGCGCTTCCATTCCCAAACCGGTAGTGAAGGCAAGTGGATTTCACCACTGTATCCACCCTGTAAAATATCATCCCCCATAAGGTGGGACTGGCTCCATTATCTTATTTATTTTTTCATTTATTTATTAATTAAATTTATAGATGGGGAGGAACAGGCTCAGGCTCAACCCATCCAAGACTGAGTGACTGTGGTTTCCGACGTCCCGATATAGTCAGTTGACGCCATCACTGACTATTGGGGGCGAATCATTGGCCCCCACGGAGAGGGCTCGCAACTTGGGCGTCCTCCTGGATTCACGGCTGTCTTTAGAAGAGCACTTGACGGCCGTGACCGGGAGGATTTTTCATCAGGTTCGCCTGATTCGCCAGTTGCGTCCCTTTCTGGATCGGGACTCGTTACGCACGGTCACTCATGCCCTTGTCACCTCCCGCCTGGACTATTGCAACGCTCTCTACATGGGGCTCCCCTTGAGGAGCACCCGGAGGCTCCAACTGGCGCAGAGTGCGGCCGCGCGGGTGGTAATGGGAGCAACATGGCGTTCCCATGTAACACCTCTCCTGCGCGAGCTGCACTGGCTCCCGGTGGTCTTCCGGGTGCGCTTCAAGGTTTTGGTTACCACCTTTAAAGCGCTCCATGGCTTAGGACCCGGGTACTTGCGGGACCGCCTACTACCACCAATAGCCTCCCACCGGCCGGTACGCTCCCATAGAGAGGGGCTCCTCCGGGTGCCATCAGCCAAACAATGCCGACTGGCGGCCCCCAGGGGGAGAGCCTTCTCTGTGGGGGCACCTACTATCTGGAACGAGCTCCCCCCAGAGATACGGAGGATCCCGGATCTGCGCACCTTCCGCCGCGCCTTAAAGACCTTACTATTTCACCAGGCCGGCCTGGCCTAATTTTTCCCCCTCTTTTATAAAAGATTTTTAAAATTTTAAATATCTTTTAGTATTTATATATTCAATTTTAAATTGGTTTTAAAAGTTTGGGGTTTTAAATTTGTCGGGGCCAAAATTATTTAATTTGATTTTATTCTATTTTTTAAATTTTGTATTGTATGTGTTTTTATTGTTTGGCTGTGCACCGCCCTGAGTCCTTCGGGAGTAGGGCGGTATAGAAATCTAATAAAATGAAAAAATGAAAATATACCACCCTACTCCCGAAGGACTCAGGGCGGTGAACAGCCAAAAGATAAAATACACAAAGTACAAATGTTAAAAAACCATTTAAAAATACATTAAATACTTTGGCCCAAAACAAATTTAAAACACCCCAATTTATAAAACAAATTTAAAAGCAATTAAAAGGGAGGTTAGGCAGGACCAGTTCTTATTGTTAATAATGCTGTTGCCATCTTTTAATGGCAGTTTTTTTAAAAAAATATTATTGTTTTTATTGAAAGCTGCCTATTGTCACTTCATTGTGAGATTTATTATTATATAAATGTCATAAATTTAAAAAATTCTCAGGATCGTCATTTACTTATGTGCTATTCCGCACAGTTAAAAGGAAGAACCACCCCAGATCTAGTGATGGGAAACATAAAATAGGCCAATACAATCTACATTTCAAACAAGACAGATACTGAGCACTAAGCATTATCTAAGCCATAGTGTGGTTTGTTTGGTTTTGGCTGAGTTTTAGTCCCACCTTAGGCATGAAAGCTAGTTGGATGGTTTTGGGTCAACCACTCTCTTTCAGCCCAACACACCTCACAGGGTTGTTGTTGTGGAGAAAATATGAGGAGCTGTCTTGAGTTATTTATAATAATAAAGGAGGAATATTAGATAGATAGATAGATAGATAGATCAATGTGCCATTAAGTTGTTTCCAACTACTAGCAACCACATAGATTACTATTGCTTGAATATAATTTTTGGATAGTATCAAAAGTGTTTTTGACATATATTTTTCTCCAATTTCAGCCACAAAAAATGCCCAAAAAAAGGGGCATTTAATAGCAAAGCAATTGCATTCATTCCTTCTGAATAAGCTCTATTCAAGATACTATAATAAAGATTGCTTCTATTCAGTAAACCATCCTCCCCATTTCATGCTGGTGTGTATTTCCCCCAACTACCTAACAGTTATTTGGCATGTTCAGTGTATACTTCCGATCATTTTTCATGTTTGGCAAGTGCTCAGATGTCTATCTTTATACTGTAAACCTACAGAAAAGTACTGTGTGCAATTCTATATGGACATGCTTAGTGCCTAGTGTATTTAAATTGTTTTAATATCTCCATTTCTTAACTGAAAAACTTTTTATTTCAGGGCATTTAAAGTAATATAATTTTTTTTAAAACAAACCCAAATTATTCTATTTTCTCTGAAGATCATACCTTCTTATATATTCACATTCATGTTCACATTCTCAATTTCAGTTTTCAGTTTTTAAAACTGGATTTGTTCTGAGTCTTATTTCTAGCCAGCTAATTATGCCAGGTAGTATGTTTTACTTGATAAATATATTGCAGGAGACTGGTACCAAAGTTGTAGAAAAAACAGCATGCTTTCTGCCTTGAGGGACACAAAAAGAATTAACCATAAGGAAACGATTTAAGAGATAGACTCACTTACCTGATAAGGGCAGGGTATGTGATATTCTTTGCACCTTTCTTGAATCCATGTTGTCTCCCACACACTTCGGTAAGCTTGTTCATAGAAATAGCAGCCAATGACAACCAAGAGTGGCACAAGATACAGTACACTGAAGACGCCAATCCGAATCATAAATTTCACCAACTTGTCCTGGTTTTCCTTCTCTAAGGGAATTTCAATACGAACCCGATTTAAAGAAATGATGCCAGCAAGTAGCAAAGAAACTCCAACCACCACATACAGGCAGAGAGGAGCAAGGACAAAGTATCTCAAGGCATCTACATCATAAAGGCCAACAAAACATACGCCACTGATGTTATCACCTTCTATTTTATTCATAGCTAGGAGAATGATGGTAAGGGTTCCAGGGATGCCCCATGCACTAGCATGGAAGAGGAGGGCTTTCTTCTCAATAGCTTCACTACCCCATTTTGGGACAGCTGCCAAAAACCAAGTGATGGTAAGAATCACCCACCAAACGCTCCCAGCCATGGTAAAGAAATACAGTACCATGAAAAGCATGGTGCATGCTTTATTGTGAGAGCCCTGTGTCACTGTGGAAGCCTTGTAAGTGGCAGGGCCGGAGGCATTGCAGGCAACCCGGTCCTCTAACAAAAAGCCAATGAAGAAAATGAGGGACACCATCATGTAACAAACAGCATAGAAGATTATGGGTCTTTCTGGATAGCGAAATCTTGTGACATCAATCAGGAAAGTCAAGAAAGTGAACAAGGTAGCGGAAAGGCAAACAATGGAGATCACACCAATGAAGTATCGTGCAAAAGAAAGTTCTTCTTGTCTAAAGTACATATTTGGACAAGGAGGGGAGCAGTCCCGTACCCGCAGGAATGTGTAGCCCAGATCGGGGTCTATTTTCAGTTCGCGAGGGCACCAAAAACCATAGTCTCTTTGCACTTCCACTGTTGTTTTTTCTGTTGGTTCCCCAACTACATTGAGGTCAATGGGGCGAGGGTAAGGCTCATCACAGTCTGGGAACCTAGAACAGCAAGACCAAAGGACTTGTAATAATGTTTAAATATAAGCAAGCATTTCTGCACGTTCTAGTTCTTTAAAAAATAATTGATTTAAAGGAATATTCTAAGAAGAAATAAAATAAAATTATAGGATTCTATGGATAGAGATCTAATTCTTATACAAATTTTAGATTAATAATTTCATATATCCAACTATCAGTACCAGCTTCTTTTCAGAGGCTTATAGCTGAAGATTTGCCTGATTTCATTTTAAATATGATATTTAGTCAACTGCCTTTATCCTGTAAATAATCTAAGAGATTTTTGTAGCTAACCAAGAAAAACAATCAATCAAATCAATCAATCAATCAACCAACCAACCATCTTAAAACATTTAAATGAATAATAGAAAAAGGCTACTGCTTTGTGTGTATATTTTTGTGGCCAGGTAAGGCTTTGGAATTTGCCATGTCCATTGCAGTTTTCACTGTCTCCAATCAATTTTAGAGTACAAATGCTTCAAAAGCAAATTTGGAATGCCTGTGATGCACAATCTGCATCACAGGGTTCTTTAGCCAAAAGAGGCGTTGGTCTTACCTGATACGCTTCTTCTCGTTGAGTGGATTAAAAGTCAGCATAATGTATAAAATATCTGAAATACTAATATATCACTGCTTATCCAATTATATCTAACCAAGATATACTTTTCCTGATTAAGCATATAAATAACACAGATGTATTCCTATACTTCTGCTCCTGTATTTTTCATTAATTTATTGCATTCTTTTTTCAGTTTTGTCTTAGTACTTATAGAACATCTTTCAATTCTACTAAATATTCTACCCCATATTTTTCAGACTTTAATTCTGAAATCTAACAACTGGACTGCAATAGTCTGTGGGCATGATTTCCCTCAGTGATTTGTACTGTGGAAGTTACGTATTTCTTTTCATTGAAATAAAGGCCAATGTAATTGGTTTCAAGTTTATACTTGACTTCTATCTGTCACTTACAAAAGCCAGAAGAGGCTTCTATACAAGTGGTACCCCTATGTAGAAGCTGCTTTCAGTTTTGACAAAGGCAGGCTAGTAGTGTCTTCCAAAAGCATTCACCAGAGCTTGCAATAAGTTCTCTAAAGAAACTGTGCTTAGGATGGGCTGGAAAACATGGCAAAGCCATTTTTCTAACTCCATGATTGATTAAAAACTAATGTAAAACTTTTCAAGTATGAAAATATAGATTTGAATATATATGAGAGCAGGGAGCTCAGGACTGGTTTCATCCCCAAGAAAATATCACAGGCGTATGACATGTTGTCTGAAAATACATCTTGAAAAAGTAGGTGATTTTAATGTAATAGTAATTTTAAGTAGTAATTTTAATAAACACAAATCCTGAGGATTCACTCACCTGTTGCATTCCATGTCTTCAGGCCAAGACACACCAAACATCTCCATGAGCTTTGAACATTCATTATATGCTCGTTGACAAATTCTGCGACATGGGAGGGTGACTCTACCATATTCCATGCAAACAGGAGCATAGAGAGCACATAGGAATGGTCGAAAGTCTCGGGAACAATCAAGGTTTACCATAGGATGAAATGGCTACAAAAAAGAAGTAAAAGTAAGAGGCTCTGGGCCAATATTTCAACAACCAAATTCTATATTGTGTACTGTGATTTCTCAGAATCCTTACCAGGTTTGAGAAAACAGATAAAATAATATATATGTCAGACAAAAAAGTTCTAAAAAAGAGTTCAATAACATTAACTATTTTTTACTGTGCCATTTCTGACTAATATAACCCTACGTAATTTGTGATATAAAGCTGAATGCTGCCCATCTGCCAAGAGCATGACACACCCTCTCCCAATCAGTTATACAATAAATTATAGTTGTACAATAAGATTTATAAATTAATCAATTCCATGATGTCTACTGTATATTACAGCATATTATATCTGCATCGTAATATGTCAGTAATATAATAGGCTTTTATGAAATATATTGATGAAGCACACCAGCCAGACAAGAAAATGCTATATACTCAGACACAAACCTCCTTTTGTTGGTATATGTGTTTGTATGTGAACTTCTTACATTTTGGGCAGTACTGGATTTATACTCCCAACTATTCAATGCTGTATATTCAGTCCAAATTAACTCAAATGTTACATCTAAAATAATGGACACTTAAAATATCAGCTTACTCTAGATAGAAAATAATTTTAACGTAAGTATGAAGGATTCTACCCTTCTTTGGCAATATAATATATGTATTAAACCAGAATTCACGTTCAGGTTAAGAATTCTTTAGAAAACAGATACAAATATTAAATGTTTAGATAGTGTATTCAGCCCAGTATCATTTTTTACATTGAGAACTTAGAGAAAAGAGATGGGAAAAAGTAAAAGAAAATCAAGGCAATAATACTCAGTTGAATATTGCTTGAAAAACAAACATGATACAACTGCAGGCATAGATGAATAAAATATTGTACTGATAATGGGTTAGAATATTGACTGAAATGATTAACAACAAAAAAAAAACAACCATTTGGTGGTGCTTGAACAAATAATTCCCTCTTAGTTTGGTCGTTTCAAATTTTTGAAGATGTAGTAACATGTATGGTATCTAGAATTATTTGGAGGAAAGGTACAAATCAGATGTAGGCAGTATCTCAATTTCATATCCCAATATTATTATACAATGTCTAGACATAAGAAACACTGGAAGACAAGCTGTCAGCACTCCCAATGACAGCCAATATTCCCAGTGAATGCATATTATTAGACTAATGCAAATTCTGAATAAGCAACTACGTATATGCAGAAAGTAATTTTATCAGTCTCTTACCCCTTCAATACTTTAAATGCAGGATTTAGGAAAAGGATTAACTCAATGACCAGATTTTAACTTGAAGCAAAAGCAAAATATTATGAACTAAAATTTCAGAAATTATTACAGTATAGAATCCTTACAAAAACAGCATGGGTAGACAAGTTTATTGGGGGGAGAGGATCAACAATATGAAATACTAGAAGATAAGGGAGAGAAAGAGAAGGAATGTTTTAATAATAAATGTTTTAAAGCTTATATATATATATAATGCGAAGAATATATATAAGAGCAGATAGCAGCAAACGGCTGCTTCTATAAGAGGGCAAAGGGAGCTTTATTCAAATAGTTTTTCTCTTTAAATTTTTAATTAGTATGCTCCATTATAATCAGTGTCAAGATAGAGTTTATGTATCTCTTCTGCTTTTTTAATAAAAATGAATTGCATTTTAATAGGATTCTTGCCTATGCTTATATTTATTTTAAAACAGATTAGAGGGAATATTCATATTCTGAATCCAGTAGCATGATATTCTACTTCCTTTACCCTTCCTCTAAGAGAGAAAATGTCAAAATATAGAGTTCAAAAAATACAACCTCCCACATTTCTTTAATTCACAATTATATAACGTACAAAATATAAATTATTTCAATTTTTTTTTTGAATTTTTCAAATTTTCTTGAATGCATGGCAACTGCTCATGCCTAGGCAAGCAAAATTTATCTCCTCCCTCCTTTCAATTTGCATGTATTCTGAATTTCAGTTGGAAGCGTCTTTGCAAAATGAGAAACTAAGCAGAAACTCAGTTTAACACTTGTTTTACTGTTAATCACAGCCTTTGACATGAACAATTTAATTTAATCCAAGCCAAGAAACAGAAAACATAAAGAAGTTTATAACCTGGAAAAAGTTCTTTTCTACCAATTACTGAACCTTAAAACCTTAAAGTCTTCCTCCTTTATTTACATTCAAATTAATAAGGTTTGCATGTTCTATTTACAATCTGCCCCCTCCTTTCAGTGTGCCATGCCTATTACCATGGGAACATTGCATTATAAGATTTCAAGCCTACCACAAGCCAAGCCTAGTCTGAAGTGTGAAAGGGGTAGAGTCAAAGGGTATAATTTGGCTCATGAGAATCAGAACACTAACCTTTGTCACACCACAAAAGGCTGGTAACCATAGGAACAGTTATCAAAGAAAAAGGTCTTGCTAATATACCCAGAGATACCGAATACAGGAGAGGCAAAAATACCATGAAATATGCAATCATGGCAATTTTTTTTAAAAAAAAATTTAAAATTTGATTTATATGCCTTCTCCGGAGACTCAGGGCGGCTTACAATGCGTTAAGCAATAAACAGATATACACATACAAATCATGTTTACTCTGATTTATCGGGGAGTTATGCTGGAATAATAATAATTTGAAAACCCTGCATCTTCACTGAACAGATCTGCATGCTATGAAATAGCAAAGCTGCCCCTGAAATCTATGGCAACAGTTAACACTTAAGTCCAGATATAACTACTTTTTTTTCTGCCATTCCAATAACTCATATGTTGGAGCTTTAAAGAGATTAATAACTAAGGAAAAATGTAGACAGGAATTTTATCATAATATTAAAGATTTTCATTGTGGTTCCAGATAATTTAAAAGTCCTCCGCTGAAACTCCCCCATTTTCACATTTCCATTGTAACAGGGAAAGTTTTGGGATTTAGGGACATTCTGGATGCATGTGTAAAGCTTAAAAGAAAAGCAATAGGAAAAGTATATCTCCATTTCTTAATAGTTTGCTGTTGAAATTCAGCTGTTAGTTAACTACACAGCGAACTTGAATTGGAAAAATTGGGGGGGATGTTTGTGGAGGAATCTACTGGGTTACTTAAAATTGCAGTGCACATTTCTCATGATTTTCAATAAAATAATTATATTCTTATTCAGTTCTCCTACATTTTGAATTGGGCATCTGGAAAGCTGGCAGCCCAGGTTCAAGATCCAAGCACCACGTGATGGGCTGAGCTTCCATCCTCGCTCCAGCTTCTGCCAACCTAGCAGTCTGAAAGCATGCAAATGTGAGTAGATAAATAGGTACCACTTCAGTGCTCCATGACATTATGCTGGCCACCTGACCATGAAAATGTCTTTGGACTGCACAGGCTCAATGGCCTTGACGCTCCGCCCCCTAGAGTCTGCAACGACTAAAGGAATACAATCCGAAGGGACTTTTTTTAAAAAAAAATTTTTTTTTTGAATTAATTCTAATACTAAGAAATTTAATTCATTGATTTTAAAACAAAGCCAACATTTAAATATAAAATTGCTTCAAAATATAAGTATTATGGAAATAAAATCTTCATATTTTATTTACCATCTTCCATTCAGCTTGCTGAGGGAGATGGAAGGTGGAATAACAAGATAGCTCAAGGGCATTGAGTTCAGGAAGCTGATAATAGCATAAAACAAGCAAAAACCATGAGATATGATTGAGGAAGGAACCAACTGTTCCAGAAATAATAAAAATACCACAAAACCCAAGCAGCAACAGAAGCAAAGCAACTGTATAACTGATTAACACACATTCCTAATAAAGGCAATATGCTTAGATCAGACCTGGGCATTTTATGGCCCACGGGCCACATCCGGCCATCCTTGTCTGGCTCATGGCAGTGGCAGCAGGGGGTAGGGCAGTGGCAGGCGGAGGGGCAATGTAGCGGCAGTGGCTTTCCACACAGTTCCAGTTTTTTTATGTGGTCCCTTGAGAAAATTAATTGTACTTACGTGTATCTTTTTGGGGAGGGGGGATTTAAATTAACAGTTCACAGTACTAACTGCAGATGGACAGCTCCTAGCCTGCTTATACAAACTGGATAGCTGAAAAGGACTAATACAAATGCAGCTCTAATGTTTTATATAAAGAAGTCACAAAGTACCTTATCTTTCAAAAAGCAATGAGGTGCTTTTTACAGTCTCAATCATTAAAACTTAAGAGACACAAAGCTACCAAAATGGGCAAGATGGAAAATAGCCTGTAACCCTTTCAATAGATGTAAATGTTTATCAGTCAAAGCTTAAGGAGTTTGATTAAAAAAGTTATAAATAAATCTGAACCTTTGGGGGAAAAAAATCTGTCTAAATTGCAAGATATAACAATCAAATTACAATCTGTACTGGAATAATATATAATGTGGATTACTTTGGATTCAATATATACATTTAATTAATACTTTAATAAAAAATAAAAAAGCTGCTTCAGAATAAATAAGGGTATACATGCGATACCTATCAGTACCTCTTTAGCGGGGCTGCATCTTTTTTCTGAGCCTGCAGAAAATACAAGCTCAGGGGAAAAATACAGAAGAATTAAAGGGATCTGATATGGTGTAGACAAAGTGCTTTAGAGAGAGTGTGGATACTACAATTTTAACATCAATCAATACTAACTGGTTGATATGAAATGACAATATTATTGTGCCAAATCCTAGAATTTACCTCTTGTAAAATCTCAAATTTCATAATGGTATTGGATGTTTTACAAAGAAGAGACTAAGCATGGAAGGAAAATACATATTCTTCAGGCACATTTTTTCCACTAAGTTTCTATGCTGCAAAGTCAATTTTTTTCCCCACATCTTAGAAGAGTAGATGATAATATATTTTTTCAGAATGTTTATTTTTACTGCTTATATATTGTGAATTTTGGGGGCATTTTTATAGTGGCTAGCAGATGAGGACAACCCATTCCTGGATGCTGCCTCCACTACAAGGGAGAAATGCCATTTATAATTTTATATAATCTATATCTAAGCATCTCATTTTGATTGAATGTAATAATTCTCATGGTACCAAGTACCATGCATCAGATAAAGATGAGGGCAAACAAGCTAAGTACAATCATCAGCCTTCTACAGGCAAAATACCAAAAAGTCTTTAAACAGATTCCAGTATTTTTCCACCTGGAAACAATTTCAGTTTAATTGAACGTTCTTAAATTCTACTTCAGAGGGTCTTTTGAACTTCCAGAATTGATTCTGAGAGTACACAGGAAAAAGAGCAGAAGAAAATAGCACTGGAGGGCAGACATCATTTTACTAAAGTTAAATTATATCGGGATTCATGCCTAGAGCCAGAAGTAAATCACAGATCTCCAGACTTGAAATTTTTAATTCAGCTCCTGTCTAGACTTGGCAGAAGATGCCCAAGCGGTACTTGGAAATATTGCTAACAGTAAAGCCTTGAACATTACATTGGCTATTGCAAGTCAAAGGAATGAGAGACTTTATGCATTTATGCTGCAGAATTTAAAATCTAGGCTTCTTCCAACCATTTTTATAAATTAATATATATTTGGCAGATATTTGATAGCTTTGGGAAGTGGATGAGTTATGTTTACATAATCATTTTCTTTAGCTCAGAAACAGGTAGTTCTTGCCTTACCTCTTACAGATTACACCATTCATTTTGTGTAGAAAGAGTGCTTATGGAATTATACATTATAACTATATAATTATACATTATAACAGCTATAGAAGGATATTAGAAAAAAATAATAGATTCCTTCGTTTCTCCTTCCTTCTTGAAAAGAGTGCAGATCTGATTAATGAACTAGAAAAAGGGTATGAGGCACTAGATATATCTTCATTTTCCATTTGGTGTAGCTCAGTACATTTTATTTTGTCTCTCTCAACATGTATAATGCATCCCCTACATTTTCCCCCATCAGCAATTTCATCATCTAAGTTAACATGTCCAGAAGAATCTTTGCAGCCTCAATTACAACCCTCCCCATGAAAATTTCAAAAAGCTTCATTCTAGTTGCAAATATATTCTTCGAAGAATATTTGTTTTGTAAAGATTACCAATAAATTATTAATTGCATGTGATCTACCAAGGCATAGAATATATTTATTTAACTCTATAATTTCTCAAGATCAAAAACTGCTCATGAGCAGTTTACCGAAAGTAAATAAAGTTGATTCAAGATCCACTGTTACTGCACTAATCCATAACAGCCACTTTTATTCATGTTATATATTTTTATTTTAAAGAATTCTCATCACTCATAGGGTAATATAAAAAGCAAATTTATATATTAATAAAACCCTCTGGATCCAGAGAACACATAATCACATGTGGTGACCCTTCATGAAGGTTTCATGCTTTGTAAATACCCCCAAATAGCAAAAAAATAGTACATTTAATTGTTTTTTGTTAATAATTCTGAACAACTGTAGTGATTTATATTTTGAATGTAAATACTTACTTCCATTGCTAGAGCTGCTGTTTGTTGATCATAATGATTCAAAAGGTTAGGCATAAATGTAGTATTGTACGGAAGATCTTGGCACATCCTCAGGATTATGGGTTCACAAGAGAATAGGCTGTGGCCACCACTGCATCTTGCTAGAACTGCCAAAAGCCAAAGATAATGGATCATCCAAATTACAGCCATTCTTCTGCAACAGTCATGAGGGTCTCCAAATTATTTATCAGACATTGCTGGATATTTCAACTTTTTATCTTAAAAGTTCTTCAGAGACTGAATAACTGTTCACACTAATAGGTTTTAGCATAGTCCAGTAGAATACTTTTATTTCCAAAACACTAATAAGATACTTTGTCTTGTTTTTTTTTTCCATACCACCATGCAAGTTGTACTGTATCATCATAATTTATTGACTAACCGCATTCCCAAACAGACTCCATGTTGACGGCCTTTTTTCTTCTATCAATAATCTAAGGATAAGAACATAAATACTTTATTAAAGTTCAAACTAGTACTGGACATAGATTAAAAAGACATAGGCTCAAGTTCTGACCATGGAGCACAAAGAATGGCTTTGGAGCAATCATTCTTTTGTAGCCCAATCTACTCATAGGGTTATCATAGGGATATAATTGATATAAAGGTGAAAGATTTATACAATCTGAGGAGAAACTTTATAATTGATATAAAAGAGCCAGTTGAGTGCCTGTTTAAGACACCAGGTTAGAAGTAAGTGACTGTGAGTTCAACTTCTGCCTTAGCCACGAAAGCCAGATGAATGACCTTGGGTCTGTCTCTATCTTTCAACCTAACCCACCTCACAGGCTTGTTGTGGGGAAAATAGAATATGTTTGCCACATTGAGTTATTTGTAAAAAAATAATAAAGTTGGGATACAAATAAATAAAGAGAGGTTCCTGTGTACACTGCCATCAACTTCTAAATAAATAGGAGATAGAAATGCAATAAATAAAATACTTAATTGCTTATTAGATGTATACCAAATATATGAAAGAAGCATTATTTGCAATCGTGCAATGATATCTCTAACACTATCAAACATTTGTCTACTCCAAGTCCTTGGGAAGCATTCAATAAAAATACCAAATCCAGCCTAAACATTGGGTTGTCTGTGTGACCAATCATAAATAAAAGTCCCCTCCAAAGGAATAGTACTTCATCATAGTGGAAGGGCTTGGGTTCTTTAGTGATGTCAAGGGCTATGCTGAACAGGTGCAACCATATCAATTGAAGAATCAGACTAAATCTGTTCCAAAACCCCCATTCAATGCCGTGAGAATACATAATCTGAATTTCATGCTGGATCAACTGTTGCCCAGATTAACAAAAGTCACATTGGATGCTATGGCTCCTAGGTATTCATTGACAAATGTGCTATAAGGCTCAATTCCTTCTGCTAGGCAATTAAGTGTGGGGTTGACAGGAAGGCAATCAAAAACAAAGAATTTGATCAAAGGAAGAAAATTAGTCAATTATGGAATGTTTCTACCAATCAGAACCACTGAAATGCAGATTTCAAAAGTGAATGTACCAGCTTTGGAAAAAAAAAACATTTTCATTTAGTAATTAATAATTTATGGACCAAAAGGGTGTAATTCTGAAACACAAATTTTTATCAATACTGAACTGGAAACAATTGAAAAATAAATTCAGATTTATTCAGAACTATGAATAATACCAATTTGCAGAGTGAGCGACATACAGTAGAAAGTAAAGAAACGATTGATTTCAATGATGAACAAGGAGAAAAAACTGCTAAAGAACTGCAAATACTATTAGCTAATCAAGACCTAGTTGGGAGTTCAAAGACTAAATGAAAGAAGCCAAAAGAATATGTTTGGCAAAATTGAATCAAATTAACAAGAAGACTGTGGCTATAACACTAAAAATATTAATGAAGCTGTTTAAACTGTGACCCAAATGATCCAGCTGATGTATGTTATATCTGATGTAATCATAGAAGAATTGGGGCTTAAAATAGGAAGCAATAAAGTCATTATGGAATGGCTAAATGGAAAATGCACTTGGATCTGGATAAAGAAAATGTGCATAGATTTGAGCAATTTGAAGAATTTGAGACAAGGAAGCTAGAAAACAGCTAGTCTTTGACTTACAATGGATCACTTACCCTAAGGGATATTTACGACCTGGATTCAAAGTTCTGATGGTCATTTCCGTCTACCCCCATGGTTACGTGACTGTAAATTAGGATGCTCAGCAATTGGACACCATGTTTTAAAAAAATTTTTTTAATTTTGATTTATATGCCGCCCTTCTCCAGAGACTCAGGGCGGCTTACAAGGCGTTAAGCAATAGCCTTCATACTTTTGTATATTTTATACAAAGTCAGCTTATTGCCCCCACAAACCGGGTCCTCATTTTACCTACCTTAGAAAGGATGGAAGGCTGAGTCAACCTTGAGCCTGGTGAGAACTGAACTCGCAGTAATTGCAGGCACCTGGAAGCTAAATACTACCTTTAACAGTAGCATTAGTCTCTGTGCCACTCTTACATCCTTACATCCATCCCTGTAGCATCCTTTCAGCCCTTTGTAGCATCCCATGGTCATGTGACCAAGTTTTATTATGATTTTGCCAAAAACCAACATTTACTTCTGTATTTGGCAAACCACATCCACAACAAACCATTGGTTTGCTTAATTACTGTAGCATTCACCTAACAACTACAACATTGCTTAACAAGTGCCTTGGTAGTACAGTGGTCTAAAGCACCCTGTTATTAAGACCAGCTGCCTGCAATTACTGCAGGTTTGAATCTCGCCAGGCTCAAGGTTGACTCAGCCTTCCATCCTTTCTAACGTAGGTAAATTGAGGACCCAGTTGTGGGGGCAATAAGCTGACTTTGTATAAATATACAAAAAGGATGAAGGCTATTGCTTAGCACATTGTAAGCCGCCCTGAGTCTCCGGAGAAGGGCGGCATATAAATCAAATAAAAAAAAAAAAAAAAAAGGACCACAGAAAAAGCTCATAAAATTGGATTGCTCATATGACTGACCTGCTTTATGGCCATCAAAAGTTATGACAGTAATGGGCAAGCTCCATTATGGTTATAACTCAACCCTTTGTAATAAGAAAATCAAAACTACTCTGTGTGTGAAATACAACCTGGAGAGCAAAGGAATTGCAGAGGCTATAGAACAGGGGTATCAAACTCCCGTCGTCACATTGTCATCACATGACATATCGTGACTTTTTCCCTTTCACTAAAATGAGGTGGTGTGGCTAGCACGTGACACATCTGGCCACAGGCCACGAGTTTGACACGCCTGGTATAGAACAACTGAAATAGAGCCATGGCTATTGCAGAGAAGATCAAGCAATATGCCAATTGAATAATTCAATTCCAGAAGAATTTGTAGGTTAGAACAAATCAGCATGAATTCTACAAAACATGACCGAGATAGGATAGCTTTATATAACCAAAAACCACATTCTCATCATTTATTTATGTTTGTTTCTCCAGTCTGTAGATTAATCTGTAGATTACCCACACATAATATTAATTTCCTCCTTTGAAAGCAAATCTAAAAGTGGAAGAAACACAATGAAAGTACTAAACATAGAATTTTGAAGATTGGGGAAACATGAAACATAATTAAATGATAAGAATATAGTATTTGTTTATATGAAACTATCTCTATCATATGACATTAAATTCCATAATTTAATATGTGATACAATGCTTACCTGACCTGAATCCCTCATAATTCAGCTTTATTATAGGAATCCTAATACAGGGAGAGAATAAAAATTCTATCTACTTTCTGCAAATTCTGAACTATTGGATATATAATATGAGATTTCAAATGAAAAACTGCTTAAGAAGCAAAGGATATTTTTCTTCCCAAGCCTCGCTGCATTTTCAAAAACTATCTAGTAAGTCACTACAGGAAACCAGATACCAGATTAAATGTTAGTTCTTATATTTGCATTTTTCTTACATAACTTTGGAGATAGAATGATGTTCTTCTGAAATTTAGTCCTCAATATTAAATAGTCCCTTCACTATAAATATTACATGTACTAGGGCAGTGATGGCTAACTTTTTCCAGACTGAGTGCCCAAAGCACCCAAATGCAATGCACTCACACACACCCGCATGTGCCCCGCCCCGCATGCTTGCGCCCCTGTGCACACACCCCATCTGCTTCCTTCTTTCTGTGTACGTGCCCCCCGTGGCAGAGACCCGAAGACCAGCTGGCCAGCAGGAGGCATGCGCACATGCATGGTGGAGCTGAACTGGGGCCACGGCTTGCGTGCCCATAGAGAGGGCGCTGTGTGCCACTTCTGGCACGTGTGCCACAGGTTCGCCATCACGATATTAGGGTAATTTTGTTTGTCATGCTTAATAGTGATTTTTTAAATAAAATGTTATGGCAAAAATATAATTATAGTTAATCCAGGAAAATTTGGATTTGAGTGTAAGGTGTGCAGTACCTCAATAAATAAATAAATAAATAAATAAACAAAAAAAAAAATGTTTTCCACTAATAATTTACCATTAAAGCAAGAAGTTTATTTCAGATTTACTGAAATAAGAGAATCTTCTCTCTTTAATATATTTTGGTAGTAAACTAGGACATCTTTTTTTCAGAGAAATATATTGGCCCTTGCACATGATTAGAATTAGTGATCATTTAAAAGAATACTGTAACAATAAAAAAACCAACGACGATTTTCAGGTGAGGTTCATGTTCAAACATAATTAGTACTGTTTAAACAGAAAACTAGTATTTATATATACTAGTAAAGGTATATATGATGAAGGATTCTTGCACCAGTTTAGAATTTATTTTAGGAATCCTTATATCTAAACTGACTTTAAACAGAGGCACCGTTACATAAAGGAATTATCTGTAAAGAACAACACATGCTTTTACTAATACAATTATAAAAATTTAAGAATGACAAATATCCTCTCATAATGGTTTTAGTATTTTTCAGACTGCAGATAAGGAATGGAATCTGATTAGAACCTCATTTCCTATAGTCAGCCTGATATGGTAATATAAGAATTCTCCCTCTCAGAGGAAAAACGTCAGTCAGGATGGGTTAGCGTCCCGTCTAGCCAATGACCGAGCACTTTCCAAAGACAAAACTCCGCCCTCCGAAGGAGCCCCAGTTCTTCGTCTCGGTCTTCGCTAAGACAGGACGTGTCCTCCTTTGACTGAGATTTTTCCTCGCCTTTTGACTGCCTTCTATTGTGATTGCCATCTTCTATCTGACCGCAAGTACTTCTCGCTCCTGCAGGCTTTGTGCCTTGCTACAGGGCGAGTTTATTCCTAATAGTTATTGCTGCATTGAGACGGCCGTTGCCTAGCAGCAGATTGACGGCGCTAACAGTTTTACCGGCTAGCCTGAGTCGCGTTTAAGGCCTCTAGGCTAGCGACTGAAGAGAGCTTTCCCCCCCCCCTCCTTCCATCTGATCGGCGCTTTGGGGGCGATCGGAAAGATAAGGCTGGAGCGGACGCTCGCCTTACAGGCCATTGAAGCCTTGAAGCCGGCTAGCTTCTGAGGAGAGCGCCCCCCCCCCTCTCATTCCATCTGATCGGCGCTGGGGGCGATCGGACCGATAAGGCTTGAGCGGACGCTCGCCTTACAGGCTATTTGACACTCGAAGCCAGCCATTGACGGAGGAGAGCGCCCCCCCCCCAGCTGATTGTCGCACCGGGGCGATCTGAGAAAAAGGGCGATTGGAAAGATAAGGCTCGAGCGACGCTCGCCTTACCAGCCGTTTTGAAACTTTGCAGTCAACGGCCTTACTGCGCGCCCTTTTGTCCTCCTCAGTTTTTGGCGCGAAAGAGTGATTGACAGGAAAGGGCTTCAACTGCCGTTTTTTCTTGCCTGCTGGTCTCTTTATTAAGCCCTGTAAATCAGCGGATAGCCTTCTCAGCCGAAGTCTGCCTATTACCCAGAATGGCTTCCTCCATGCGGAATTCTGAGGGCCCTGCTTCCTCTCGTAGGCGCCACCCTAGCGATCCCCTCGAGGGGACTTCTTCCTTGCTGCCTCCTCCGGCCAAGAAATCCCGTTCCAAAAGGGATAAGGCTCCATCTGATAAGGTCCAATCCTCTAAATCGGGTTCTTCCCGAGAGGAACAGCGCCGGCATAAGGCCATGGAAAAGGCCTTTTCGCGGGCACAGTCACAGGCTCAAAGGTCTAACTGCCTCTCTTCTCAACCTCCAGCAAGGTCTCGCTCCCCTCGTTCGGTGCGGGATCTCTCCCCTGATGTTGCTGAGGACCATCATACTGTGTCCCCTTCGGAGCCTCAAAGACTGTTTCAAACACTCCCTGACTCTAACCAGCCTTTGGCCTTGCCTCCTACTCCCCCTCCACCTCCAACTTTGTCTACTCCTATGGCTGACTCCTTGGAGGCCTTCATTTCCAGAGCCATACGACAGTCCATAGCGGATTGTCTTCACCAGGCTCCTTCCGCTTCCAACTTAAGAGCGGATCCTCCTTCTCCCACCGAGGCACGGGATGGTTCCTTACCTGATCACGATTTTTCTGCTCCCCGGGCTTCCCTCGATCAAGCCTCAATGTCAGAGGGGGAGGAGTACCCGGATCAAGCCTGGTCGGACGATGAAGGCCTGGGACCCGACCAGCCGGCTTTTGTTGGCCTCTTCAAGCCGCACCTCTTCCGATCTTTATTGTTTAAGGCCATTGCCGTTACCCGTTTGGGTTCACCTCCGACAACTGCTCCATCTTCGTCTACTTCAGACCCTGCAGCGGCCATGTTTGCGGAACCTACCGCCGAGCCTGACACCATTCCGGCTCCTAAGTTATTTACTGATGTTCTCCATCGTCAATGGGCCTTGCCAGGGGCTGGGCCTAGCCCTAACGGATTGGACAAGCGTCTATACAACTCTGCTCCTCCGTTAGCTGATTTGTTACAGGCCCCTAAAGTCGACTCTCCTATTGTGGCCTTAACTGATTCTTCTCATCCTGCGGGTCCCCCTGAGGATTCTCTTAGGCCTGAGGACAAAAGAGCAGAAAAAACTCTCTTAAAAGGTCATCAGGCTATGGCCTGGTCTATCCGGGCATCGACTTCTGCCTCTTTCTTTAACAGAGCGGCTTTGCTGTGGCTCAAGCAACTACAAGCCAGACTTCCGCTTTCTGACGCTCGGTCACATCAAGATCTAAATAAGATTGCAGCAGCCTTAGAGTATTCGGCTGATGCTACTTTAAATTCCACTCGCTTTTCGGCCAGAGCTTTGGGTTCTAACGTAACATCTCGCCGCCTTTTGTGGCTTAGAAATTGGCAAGCCGATATACGAAGCAAATGGCAACTCGCTTCAGCTCCTTATTCTAGCGGCTCCCTCTTTGGTTCGGCTTTGGAACCCTTGCTTGTCGAAACCAGGGATCGACGGAAGATTCTTCCCCCTGCTTCACGGCGCTCTGACTCCCGTTTCTCTTCTCCAAGATACCAGCCTTTTCGGACCTCTGCTTCCTCTTCCTTTCAACCTCGAGGACAACGCTCCTTTCCTTCCAGACCTCCACGGGATTCCCAGGTCAGACAGGGTTCCAGGTTTCGTAAACCTTTCCGAGGAGGCAGGGGAGGTCGGTGGTCTCGCAGGGGTAGGTGAGGTCCATTTCCATTACCCCATTGGAGGTCGCCTTTCCCTTTATCGTGAGCAGTGGGCCTCCTCCATAAGCGATTCCTGGGTTCTTAACACTGTTTCTTTTGGATTGGCTTTGGAATTTTCTTCCCTTCCCCCCTCCCGTTTTATTCCTTGCCCTGTGTCTCGGGACCGAGTCAGGTCAGGAATTGTTTCGGACGCTATTGAGCATCTTTTACGAATTTCCGCCATTGAGAAAGTCCCTCTTTCTGAACAGGGCCATGGCTTCTACTCCCGTCTTTTTGTTGTACAGAAAGCCTCGGGTGGTTGGCGTCCTATTTTAGACCTAAAGGCTTTGAACCGGCACGTTAAATACCGCCGGTTCAAGATGCATTCCCTTTCGTCTATCCTTGAGTCCATTCGTCCTTCCGATTTTCTTTTTTCTATTGACCTAACAGATGCTTACCTTCATGTTCCGATTTTACCGGCTCATCGCCAGTTCCTCCGTTTTGCTTTCAGGGGTTCCCATTACCAGTACAAGGCTTTACCCTTTGGGCTTTCTTCGGCGCCCAGGGTATTTACTAAGATTATGGCATCGTTAATTGGTTTCATCAGGTCACACCCTATCCGCCTTCAGTTTTATTTGGATGACATATTAGTTATGTCTCCTTCACTTCAGGCAGCTCAGCAGGATTTGTCCTTTGTTCTGTTTTCTCTCCAGTCTCATGGTTTTTCTATAAATTGGTCCAAGAGCCATCTGTCCCCTTCTACCTGTATACTTCATTTAGGGGCCTCTATTGATACTGTCTCCTCTACGGTTTACCTTTCGCCGGAACGCCAGTCTAATCTGCGCTCCTTAGCGCGCAAATGTCTGCGATCTGGCTCAGCTACAGCCCTAGTCCTTTCCCGTCTTTTGGGAATGATGGTCTCCTCTTTCGGTATTACCCCATGGTCCCGTTTGCATAGTAGAGAGCTCCAATGGCTCCTCCTACCCTTTCAACGTGATAACCTTGCGGCCTCTTCTCGGCGTATCAGGATTCCCCAACCGGTACGTCACTCTCTGCTCTGGTGGACCTCTCCCGCTTTATCTCGGGGTTCTACCTTCAGGGAACCAGAGAGGATTCAGTTGACTACGGATGCTAGTCTCTCGGGCTGGGGTGCGCATCTACGACATCACATGGCTCAGGGTCAGTGGACCCCTCAGGAATCTCTTCTCAGTATTAACCTGTTGGAACTGCGGGCAATTCGCCTCGCCTTGCTTCAGTTCAGCGATTTGGTGGACGGTAGACACGTTTTAGTCCTAACCGATAACACCACGGCCAAGGCTCATGTTAATAGGTTGGGGGGTACCAGATCTCATTCTCTGATGAACGAGGCCCGTTTATTGGGTTTATGGGCCGAGGACCATCTTGCTTCAATCAGGGCAGATTACATTTCCGGAGCTGACAACATCCAGGCTGATTCCCTCAGCCGTTCGCAGGTGGACCACGGCGAATGGTCCATCTCGCAAGAGCTCTTCCGAGATATCGTCTCTAAATTTGGATGCCCAATTGTAGATTTATTCGCCTCTCGTTTGAACCATCGTCTTCCCCGTTATTTTTCCAGGTTCCTAGACCTCCGGGCGGAAGCCACGGATGCCCTTCGCAGCCCTTGGCCCTCGGGACTTTTGTACGCCTTTCCCCCTCTCCCATTGATTCCCAGGGTTATACGGAAGATGCTTTCCGAACAAGCGCAGCTTCTCCTGGTGGCCCCGTTTTGGCATATGCGCCCCTGGTTCGCGGACTTGATGAGCCTTTCAGTGGCTCCTCCTTGGCAAATCCCTGCCTCCAAGGTCAGTTTGTCACAGGGGTCTCTGATTCATCCGAACCCGGAGTGGCTTCGCTTGACCGTTTGGCGGTTGAGCAGCTCCTCCTGACGGGGGCCAGAATCCCGGCAGATGTTGTGTCCACGATCCAGGCCGCCCGCAGACCCTCTACCGTCAGAATTTATGAGGCCACTTGGAGGGCTTTTGTTTCGTGGTGTTCATCGGTTCCTATTTCACCTACTTCGGCTTCCATTATTCACGTGCTGATGTTCCTTCAATCGGGCCTTCGCAAAGGACTTAGACCCAACACGCTACGTCGACAACTGGCCGCCATTGCTTCCGTCTTGTCCTGCGGTTCGAAGGATCCCATTTCTCGTCATCCAATCATCACAACCTTCCTACGGGGAGCTACAAATCTACGCCCTCCAACCGTTCATCGGTTTCCAACGTGGAACTTGAATAAAGTCCTAAAGGCGCTCATGTCACCTCCCTTCGAGCCTCTTCGATCCGTCTCACTGCGTTTCCTTTCGTTGAAAGTGGCATTCTTAGTGGCTATCACTTCTTCCCGCAGAATTTCAGAACTGGCAGCATTATCTGTCCGGTCGGACCTTTGTATTTTCCATGCCGATAGGGTGGTTCTCCGGCTGGATCCCGCCTTCGTGCCCAAAGTAAACTCGACCTTTCACAGGGCACAGGAGCTCGTGCTCCCGGACTTTTGCCCTCGCCCTTCCCATCAACTGGAGAGGGCTTGGCACACGCTGGACGTCCGCCGGGCGTTGAAGATTTATATCACCCGGACGTCCTTACACCGAAAGACGGAGGCTCTGTTTGTTGCCTTTCACCCCTCAGCCCTGGGAGTACGGGTATCTAGTGTGACTTTAGGTCGTTGGATCAGAGCCGCTATCGCCTTAGCTTACCGGCATTCGAATTCTCCTCTGCCGCATCCCATCACAGCTCATTCAACGAGGAGCGCCTCAACATCGGCCGCCTGGTCTACTCAGGCTCCCCTCGAAGAAGTTTGCCGTGCAGCCACATGGACAACCATCAGTCCCTTCGTCAGGCATTACAGAGTGGATTCATTTGCTTCCGCTGACGCTGCATTCGGCAGAAGGGTTCTACAGTCGGTTCACCTTCCTTGAGGACCACCGGACCATTTTTCTTCCCTCCCTGGTGACATCTGGCTTTGGTATGTCCCCATCCTGACTGACGTTTTTCCTCTGAGAGGGAGAATGGACGTTGGTCTTACCTGATACGTCCCTTCTCGACATGAGGAAAAACGTCAGTCAGTCCCACCCTTTGGTTCGTTCCGGTGGTGGGGGAGGGGTGATATTAACTCTCTCTTGTTTCAGGAGGACACGGAGCACGAGTCCATCGCTTCGCCTCATCGAAGAACTGGGGCTCCTTCGGAGGGCGGAGTTTTGTCTTTGGAAAGTGCTCGGTCATTGGCTAGACGGGACGCTAACCCATCCTGACTGACGTTTTTTCCTCATGTCGAGAAGGGACGTATCAGGTAAGACCAACGTCCATTCTCATATGATGCAAAAAGGGATTATCTAATCTACTATCCTATGATTCAGAGAATCCAAGAAATGTTCTTACTTCTAACATTTCTTCACGGAAAGTGGTATTTAAGAGCAAAATCTGGAATAGCAGGTAATATTTACCATTATGGCTAGTAGCCTTTAATAACAAGCATAATATAAAGTTCTCTATATAGGTGAAAACCAGGGGTGAAATGCTCCTGGTTCGGACCGGCTCGGGCGAGTAGGTAGCGATGGCGGCGGGCAGTTCGGAGAACCGGTAGCAAAAATCCCTTCCCCCGCCAGCCATGCCCAGCTGAGCCGCGCGATCATAGAGCCTTTTTTTTCCTTTTAAATGGTTCTGACGATCCCAGCTGAGTTACCTGCTAATCAGGCAACTCAGCTTGGATTGTCAGACCCATTTAAAAGAAAAAAAGTTTCTCCCCCCACCCCCTTGCTTACCTTAGCTGCTGGTCACAATGCCTGCCTTGCTTCGCTTGCTGTAATACCTGCAATCCATTGCATCAACAAGCAACTGAAGCTCCCTGCCTGCAATCAAGCTCATCGGTGAGCAGCTCTATCTGCAACTTTAAGACTTGTGGACTTCAACTCCCAACAAAGCTGGCTGAGGAATTCTGGGAGTTGAAGTCCACAAGTCTTAAAGTTGCCAAGGTTGGAGACCCCTGTTCTATTGGGTAAGTATTTTTCCCTTTGGGAGCTTTAAAAAAAATAGTTAATTGGGGATTTTTTTAGTTGTTCTTTTTTTAGACCTAGCCATTTAAAGTTTAGGAAATTTTAAATTTAGCTGCTTTTATATAAAAATAAAAATAAATAAAAATAAAATAATATTTGTGCAGCTTTCTGAGATTTAGTATATTTCTGTAGTGTTTCACTCTAACTACACAAACACAAAATCTCACAAAGCTGTATGTGGAATTTTGTGTGTGTAAAGTGTGAAAGTTGGTTTTTTGGGCTTTTTGTGGCTGTGTGAGGTTCCTGCTTGTTGCGGGGCCATTTTGGGTCTAGCACAGCTGCTTTTATATTGTGGGTGAGCCAGTTGTGTTGTGTTGTGTTTTGTAGGCTAAAAATGGGCAAAGAAGTGACATTGACTTGGCCACGCCCACCCAGTCACCTTACCACCAAGCCCCGCCCACTAATTAAGCCCCACCCACAGAACCAGTAGCAAAAAAATTTAGATTTCACCCCTGGTGAAAACCGATGTATTACTTATTGTGAATTTATTCAAGATAATGTACCAATCTGCCTTCTACTAATTACAGAAACATCCAAGAAATCATAGTTAACAAAAGAGGAAAGTAACTTTAGTCTTCACTTTCTAGTTGCATTTACTTTTACCATCCCTTTCAAAACTCAGTTTTACTTATGAAGGTTCTTTCCTCCAAAGGAAATAATTTCTGCCTAGAAAACAAATCTGGCTTAAAAAGATGGCAGTTGGCACATTCAAACAGATTGGCTGGCAAATCTATATCAACTGTATAACAGTATGCTGAGTCTCAATCTCAATAAATAAAAGGGGCAGATGCAAATTTTAATCTGCTATTAAAACTTCATTATTTTCTAAACATATTTAATACAATTTGAGGTTTTTAGGCCACAAATGTTAGAATAAAATTTCTGTAATTTACTATTATTTATATTCATGTTTCTGTAACAAAACTGCTTTTGTTATGTAGGGCCATTACATTTGGTTTTAAGATTATATCTTGCGAATCAATATACAGACTTCCATAAGGACAAGTAAGTGGGAACAAATGATGAAATGTGTCACATCATCATGATGCAATTCAATTGAAATACTTCTTTACTCAGGTCCTATACCATGACAAGTACACAGCATCAGGGTTTGTATCCTGAACATAGTTCATCACTCCAGATATCTATGACTACAGGATCATAGGATCAAGGATCTAGGATCAAGATAAAAATATAAGGTATTTTTTTCTATTAAAACAGAATTAATATAATTATTTCCAGACCATTTAATAATGTTCATTTTTGTAATATTAAACATTTTGGTGATATTTCCTACAGGGTCTCTGGCAATTAAATTAAGTTTTCAGGCTTTACTGAGAGATTCAGCATTTACGATCTTCAAAAATATACAACTAAGAAACTTTCATTTATGTATTTACATAACTTAGAGTGTTCTCATCTCCAAACAACTTTGTTTACACTTCAAAAGTAAATAAATAAATGAAATTAATAAATAGGTGATAATAATAAAAAAACAGATGCCCAAATCTTATAGGTGGTAACAACCACCCTGCCCAATACATTATATGAACTGATAGCTAAAATAAAACATTCCTACTTCAATTCCAACAGCACTATCAGTTTTTTAATCTCATCACAATTATTTAAACTGTGCTGCCACTCACATTTTACTCCATATACAACAATCATGCACATAAACAACTCAGACTATATATTACAGTACAGATCATGAAACTACTCAGGAAAAAACCTCAATATTTCTATATATTACTGAGATCATTCATATAATCACTAGCGACAATATTGAAAATGTTATTTCTGGAACTTAGATGAAGATGCATTCTATCAGTTGTAAGTGGTACAAATTTTAATATTTCAACAGTAAACTGCCAGTTTTGAAAATTATTTCAGTTGCAATTTAAGTGTGAAAGAACAATCAGTGACATAAATAGGAAAGAGAAATCAGGTTCCTTAATTGTCACACTAATCTATCCTAGGCTGCATGAACAAGAGGGATAGAATCAGGGACACATGAAATGTTAGTACTGCTTTAAAATGCTTTGGTAAGACCATACTTGGAATATTGTGTCCAGTTTTTATCACCATAGTACCAAAAAGATATTCAAACTCTAGAAACAGTGCAGAGAAGAACAACAAAAATGATTCAGGAACTGGAGATTAAAACATATGAAGAACAGTTGCAGGAACTGGGCATGTCTAGTAAGAGGTTGCCACAAAAAAGGATGTCAACCCATTCTCCAAAGCACCTGAAGGCAGGACAACAATGGATGGAAACCTATCAAGGAGAGATCCAACCTAGAACTAATGAGAAATTTCTCAAGGTTGAGAACAGTTAATCAGGGGAACAGTATTCCTCCAGAAGTTGTGAGTGCTCTACCTTTGGAGGTTTTTAAGAAGACATTGGTAGCCATTTGTCTGATACAGTATAGTATTTCTTGCTTGAGCAGGGGGTTGGACTAGAAGACCTCCAAGGTCCCTTCAATTCTGTTATTCAGGTTTGTTCTATTCTTGTAGCTACTGTCTTGTTTCTAAAAGAAAGCAGAAGTACAAAATAGAGCATAATCTCTTAAAGCATTAAAAAAAATAGTTCAATGATTCCCATATCGTGGTCTTGTCAAATAATCAGTGGTTTGCAGAAGTCTACCAGATTGTCAACTACAGCTTCCCACCATCCTCAGTGCTAGTGAGGAGCCTAAACCAAAGTCTGCTAACCATCTCAGTGCCAACCTCCTACGGTAGATTCTCTGCAAGTTCAGCTAGTTCATGAAAATGAATCAGTGGATAAAAAAAGGTTCACTGAAGCATACAGGTGATAAAAGTAGCAATACAAACCCCACAATTCATAAAACGAACAGCAGCAAATAGACTCACTACAAGACAATGAGTCTGTAAGTGGATGCTAACTGCAAATGTGATCTCACGTAAGTAATTCAAAAAGAAATATACAAATAGGAATACATATATGAGTATCTTAAACAAAGAGTGGAGATCAATTTAGGAAATAGAGCGGAGATCAATTTGCCCATCATCTTAGTACTCAGAGATTTCTACAGAAGATCATTCCATTATGTTTGTGCTAAAAATAATAATATTGCATTGGATATACAAAATAATCCAAGAGTGAAAAGGTATACTAAATTTGGGGATTTTTTGATTGAAAATTTAGCTTAAAATAGCTTTCAAACAGGGAGGACAGGGAAGCATACACAAATGTAACTATAATCATGATCTTATTCATCGAAAAATTGGTCTTCATTTTGCAAATGAAAATAGAGAAAGAAGGAATTTGTTTAACTGGGTATCTATTATTTTCAAATATTTATTTAGGAGTCCACAACTGCCAAAAGTTTACAAAGTAGTGATTTGGGAATCTTTCATTGCATCATCAAATAAAAATAATAATTCACATTAAATAATCTTTGCTTAGAGTCTTCCCCTATAATATCTTCTAAAGAATTATCTCATAAACTAAAAAAGAAAACTCACTCTCCATGCTATCATCTACTGAAATGGAAATTCACTCTCTATGCTATCATCTGCTGAAATGGAAAACTTTCCCATACATGTTCCTTAGTACTCAATCAATGCCTTGTATGGCAGTCAATAAAATTTAACTAGTAATTTTCTCCTTCTGCATTAAAACACTAATCTATCTCATTTTCTTTGCATATTTAATATTTTAGTTTTCCTGTGAAGCACGCACTTCATTCCAGGGGAAAAATTAAAGCAGGACAAAAGTGGTTATGTAAAATATATTTGCTGCTAGAATTATGGTATGGACAATGAAGGAAGCATCTCTGCAGTATTAAGATATCATAAAAATAGGAAAATTGTTTTGTGGGATCAGAGGATTTGCTCTACAATTTCTTTTCCAGCACCAGTAAAACTGAAAGGCAATCCACAGAAAGGGTTTCCCCTGTCTTTCTTCTAGAGAAAGAGTAAGAAGCAAAGGGATTATTGCATTTGTCTTCGCAACTCATTGTTTTTCTTTGTGCACTATTGATAATTTGGAATATCAATTTCTCAATGGAGATTGAGAATTTCAGATTCTCCATCTGAAAAGGTTATTCTAAATCAACTCTGACCCAGGATTACTTCTAGCTCCTGCAAAACACATCCTTGGTGAAAATAATTCAGTAGACATTCCTCCTTATTTCAGTGCCTACATATGCGAGGCATGACAGTAAATCAAAAAGAAGATTGTGTTTTCTTTAATTGCTCCCCCCCCTCCCAGAATGAGGTTCTGTACAGGCAAGCTCAGTTACATTAAAATATTTGACCTTTAATTAAATATCACTTTAAAAATCTTTTTGCTTTTTTTTTTTTGACAGCCACTTTGGAGGCCTAGGTTGTGTCAAATATAAAAAGCTTCAGAAAAAATTATTGGTTACAATAATAAACAATAACTATTATTTCACGATGTAGGTAACTGCACCCTCATATCCTCTACTGGGGGCGTGGGGGACACACAAAAAATGACTGGGGAAAAACAAAGACGGAAAGCCTCCTCCATTAATCCACCCCCTTTCTTTCCCCATCTACAAAGATATAGCATAATCAGGTATGTAATGTACTCCATTTGTCTCGTCTTCCAAGTGCCAAGCCCACTTTGACCCGAAGATATGGGAGAATACGGGAGAGACAGAGAAGGGGCCAAGAAAACGGGAGCGCGGCAGAGAAAGAAAGAGAGAGAGATACCTGCAGCCCTTTTAACTCCAACCTCCTCGGTCGCGCAAGGAGAGGCTGAGATCACGTTTTTTATTGTCCTAAAGGAGCGAGCAAGAGAAGGCAACCCGCCCTTGGTTGCCGAGACTGAGGATGTTAGGCACTGTAGTCCAACACAAACGGCCTGGCTGAGGGGGGGAGGAGGGGGGGGGCGGACAGCTACTATGGGGCGAGAGAAACCGGTCTCCACACAAAAGAAAAAGAAAGCGGAGCGTTCACACTTCTTTTTGGGAGAAAATTAAGGACTCCTCCTTTTTTTAAGGTGGCTGAGGAACGAGGAGGAGGAGGAGGAGGATAAAAGACCCCCTCATCCTTTTTCTCCGCCGCCGTTTACTGTACCTGCCTCCGGCTCCTTTTCCTCCTCCTTCAGGTGCCTCCGACACTCCAGGTCCATCGAGTACAATATGCCGGCGAACAACTTCCTCAACGGCCGCCGCCGCCGCCGCGCCTTTTTCTCCTCACACTCTGCCCCGCCCCCTCACGAGTCTTGAATGCGGTGGGGTGGGGGGGAGAGTGAGTGAGTGAGAGAGAGAGAGACGAAGAAAGAAGAGGGGAAAAAAAAGTAGCCAATGAAATACCGATCCCCGCCGCCACTCTCTCTTGGTTACTAGGTAGAACAAAAGAAGGGGGGGAGGAGGAGGACACTGCGCTTCGGATGGGCCTCTGCAACTAGGCAACGGTTTCCATGGCGAAGAGAATCAACTCGCAGGCGGCGGCGGTGGAGGAAGGAGTGCTGTACAAGAGACTAGGCCGTTGTGTGGAGTGTGAATGGTGGGGGAGTTGTGGAAGAAGACAACCACGTCCTTAATGGCCCTCTCGCCTTCGCCATCGTTAATGGCGTTGCTGAAGCGTTAAAGATTCAAACAGAACAGGTGAGAGCTTGTGTGGTGGCAAGCCACCCATCCAAATTGTGGTGCTGTTAGAAGTGAATATTTCTAGCTCAGAGTTGAGCCTTGGGTCCTTATGGGATAAGTCATGTTGCCTACTTTGGTAATGAAATGTCTGCAAAACAAACTTACCAGAGCACCAAAGACCCCACAGATACACAGTTCCCTCTACACACTTTGACATATATGATAACCATTTTTAATTCAATGCTGCTACGTTGTTTTGTGTTTTTTGTTTTTTTGCTTTGCTTGAAATTATACCCTAGGTTTAAAAGGTGATTATTACAATGCCTGTTTTTATGTTGTGAAAATAAGTATAAGAAATTATTTATATTATTACTTTTTTTTTTCTTTGCAAGCTGCTTTGGATATGCTGCAAAGAAATATGAGAAATCGAATACAAAGAAGTAATTAGATTAGGACCTTGGGTTCAAGAGTTGTGATCTTGGAAGGCCTCTGTCTTACATCTTTATTTGACAGTGTCAGTGGGCAGGTGGATTGAAATCTGCTGCTCTGAGTTCCTCAAAAAAAAAAAAAAAAAAGACGGAATAGAAAATGGAGAGTGGGATAATTACTTCTGAAACACATTTATAATATTTATATAGATAGGTGTCAGGGTAGTCACTATTTAAAATAAATCTTCATTATTAGTATTAGCAATATCGGGTTATTTTAAATAGTAGCCTTATCCATATATCACTAACGTTGAGAAAAGAGTCTGTACACTACAGTATATCCTCCATTTTTTAGTGTAAAACAAAATTGGGGAGGAATTTTATATATACAAACTCATATATGAGAACAATCTAACTCTTCCTCAAATTTAAATTCAGTACAATACGCATTAAGTAACAAAAGATTGTAAGCATAGAATTTTAATTATTTTCTCTTATTACATCTTCCAATTAGTAAAGAACACAAATAATATTTTAGAGCGTTTTCTTTATTTGGAAGTAATCTAAATGTATTAGATGTCATCTAGAAAATGTTTTGCACCTTTTATTTGAGGAATTATGTTTCTAATCTATAGTAGTGTAACTGCTTGTATAACAACGCTATTTTTACTATTGTTAATTATGCTAGCATATCATTGCTGACTTCGAGTATATGATTGCAATGAGATGCAGACCTCATTTTTTTTCTTTGTTGGGATCCCTACTGGGGCGGGGGTGGACACAGTACAAATACAGATAACAACTTCAACAAATTATGACAATATATCCAAATTAATAGATCTTTTAAAACTTGTTTTTACTTGTTTTCAGAGGCCTGACATAGGAGGTCAGAAAACCCAGGGCCAGAACATCTCTGTTGTCAACTTTCAAGGCCACTTTTATTGTCAATAGAAAACTGACATCAGGTAGGCCTCACGTAGTACTGCATGAATTGGGCACAAACCCAATCTTCAGTTTCAAAGCCAAAGTCATAACCTCTCAAAAGAGAGAACTTTTGTCTATATTAAGAGATGTTTAATACTTTGGATACTCCATAAGAGAGAGCATATTTGTCTGTGACATCTATCAGTGGAATGGATTTCTCTCAAACATGCTTCAGACTGCTTTGCTGGGTTGAGGAACCTGTTGGAGCAGATTTGAAGGGACAGGGAAGGGTTCTGCTTCATATATTCCAGGAGAATATTCCATCGTTGGCTATAGGGGGTGAGGTGTTGCCCCCTGTAGAAAGGGCGCACAATATAGGTGTCCTCCTGGACTCACGGTTGACTCTGGACGACCATGTTACGACCGTGATCAGGGGGACATTTGCTCAGATTCGTCTGGTGTGCCAGTTGCGCCCCTACCTGGACCGTGATGACCTGCGCACAGTCACTCATGCGCTCGTCACCTCCCGGATCGACTACTGCAATGCTCTCTACATGGGGCTGCCCTTGAAGACCACCCGGAGGCTTCAGCTGGTGCAGAATGCGGCCGCACGGGTAGTGATGGGAGTGTCCCGACAGTCTCATGTTACACCCCTCCTGCGGGACCTGCATTGGCTACCGGTTGCCCTCCGGGTGAGATTCAAGATGCTGGTAATTACCTATAAAGCCCTACATGGCTTAGGCCCAGGGTACCTGGTGGACCATCTGTGGTCAGCGACAGCTCCCCATAGCCCGGTGCACTCCCACAGGAAGGGCCTCCTTGGGGTCCCGTCGGCCAGACAGTGTCGGCTGGCTGTGGGCGCGCCTACTCTGTGGAATCAGCTCTCCTGGAGCTCCGGATGGCCCCTGACCTTCGCTCTTTCCGCCATGACCTCAAAACATGGCTATTTGGCCTGGCCAGATTGGACTGAAGGGGTTTTTAAAGGGGATTGTATTGGTTTTTATATTTGAATACTGAATTTTATGTGTTTTTTATCATTGTGAGCCGCCCTGAGTCCTTTGGGAGAGAGGGCGGCATACAAGTTTAATAAAATAAAATGAATAAAATAAATAAATATATTCATGTTAATATTAGATTATTAGATATAGCCATCTTTAGCTTTCCCACATTAGGTTTTGAAAGCTTAGATAATATAATAGCAATAGCACTTGCACTTAAATTCACAGTGCTTTACAGCCCTCTCTAAGTGTTTTACAGAGCCAACTTATTGCCCCCAACAATCTGGGTCCCCATAACCTTATGGTTTCAAATAATCTCACTAAAGAAAAATCAGCAGTACAAAAAAAACCCTAATAGTTATATTAATGCAGGGGTGTCAAGCTCGATTTCATTGAGGGCTGCATCAGGGTTGTGTTCGACTTTGGGGGGTTCGGGGGGGCGTGGCCAGGGTAGACATGGCCAGCTTGGTGTCACTCATGTCGGGGCCGCACACAGCCCTCCCAAGCTCCGTTTTCGCTGGCAGATGCACTGTGGGCCGGTCCTTTGCTACTTCCAGGGCGGCCCCGCAGGCCAGATCTAAGTACCCCGTGGGTTGGATCTGGCCCCCAGGCCTTGAGTTTGACACCCCTATATTAATTGATGCTAAAAAAACAAATTGATCAGGTGTTTCAAGATTCTCTCTCAATATATATTTTTCATTAATGAAGGAATCGGTACCTTTCTTTCCATATATATTCTGCAATATATATGGGAAAATTAAGTGCTGCTTTAAAAAAAGGTCCTCACATTTGCTTAGATTTCCACAATGAAATAATTCTGAAGTTAAGCCCAGAAGTGAATTGAATTTAAGCTATTTCTTTCCAGAAAGAAAATTTTCTTTAACTTTCTATAAAGTTACTGATTTTTATAAAGAAGCAAAGTTCCACTCTTCCACTGGAAATGTGAAAGATTAAACCCCACATTTCCTTATACTGTAAATCATAACTTTTATTGTAATTAAATTCTTAATTTCTGGATCAGGAAAAAATCATTGAATAGTGTACAAGGTTTCATGAAATGACATGAAGATTGAAAGAGTAGAGTAATCCCTTAAAATATAGAATTAACAGTTGTATTTATTATGCGAGAGACTTTTGGTGTAGTGGTTAAGATACCAGGCTAGAAACTGGGAAACTGGGAGTTATAGTTCCTCCTTAAGCAAAAAGCCAGCACTGGGCCAGTGTCTGGCTTTCAACCTTAGAAAGGAGGAAATGGCAAACAAATTCTGAAAAACCTTGTCAAGAAAACTGCAAAGAATTGTGCAGGTAGTCTCTGAGAATTGAACACAACTGAACATAAGGAAAAAATATATGGACCAAATTTAGAAGGAAAGTCTGTTTAAATCATGCTTTATGTACAGTATATACAAGGTGGGATAAATTTGAATTAACTATATTTGAAAATTCTTTAGGGACATATTCTAGATACTACCACCCCTTCCAAGCCTTTATTACTTTATTAATATTGTTAGAACTCAGTGGCATTCAATCTAAACTGTTTCTTGTATAAAAGCCCTAAATTTATATATTAAAGAACTTAGAGACTTAAATTTCAAAAGTATGAATAATACATAAAATAACATCTGGCTATAAAATCAGCCTTGTCTAAACTAATGTCTTGAACATATATAGATATTCCTAATAGCATAAGGGAGCCCTAAATAACATAATTTTAATAGGAATTGAGAATGACTTGTTTATTTATCATGTTAATATGTTTAGTTTGAGGCAGCTTAGAATGTTGCATGAGCTCAGTCTATGGGGTTTATTCAGAAAGTCACAGTAAAGAAAATAAGATCATTCACTATGAATGTTAAATAATAATTAAGGGACACATATACTTATCCAAGTTTCAAAACTTCAAAGTACTTCTGAAAATATTGAGTAATCCCAAGTATATCAAAACCCTTTCCTGTGTACAAAGAAATAATTGCAAGTAGATTGTACTCATTTAAAGATAAAACTGCTATATCAATTAGAAGTGAAATACAAACACTGAGGCTAAAATAACAGGGTATGAACTATAAATCAAATCACAAAATTGTTGTTTTGGGGAGAATGTTTGCTAGAAGATACTACAATAGGCTGATTTCTCTACTTTCCTAATTCAGAACTAGTTTACAAATCTTTGATGCGACATTTTTGTTTCTTCTGTTTTATATAAGTTTCAATATTTCTTGATTTCACCTGATGTATGCTCTCCAGTTAACATTAAAATATAGCTTACAATAAACTCCAGTTTCTCCCAGCTAGAAAGTTCATACTTAAGTACTGTTTTTCCTTTCTTAATAGATTTTTTTGGAGAAAACAAAAGATTTAATTGTTTAAAGTTTATGGCCACCCGCTAATGGAAGGAATGAGGAAATTGAAAAAGGTTGCAATAGAAGGCAATATCCTGTATATTACACATAAAATTATATTAACGGGTCGAAGTCATTGCTGAAGAAAACCTTCTCTTGAAGCCATTCTGCCCTCCCTCTTTTGTTAGTTCCAATATTTATATACCCCTGTTTCCCCGAAAATGAGACCTATCCTGAAAATAAGCCCTAGCATGTTTTTACACTTGCGCCTAATATAAGCTCTACCCCCAAAATAAGCCCTACTTAAGAGCCTTCACAGCTGGCTGCCCACCCATTCCGTCTAGTTGCTTGTGGTGCCATGGCCACAAAGGCGGTGGGGTAGTGGAGCTGTCCCACGCACCCACACCAGCTTACCTCAGGGCCCCCATAGTCAGGCCATCCATGCCCTGACACTTGCCTCATCGTGGCAGCAGCAGCTGCCATGTGCAGCAGGAGCCCACATGGCTATCGGCCCATTTCTTCTGCTTGCTCGCGGTAGCAATGGAGCAGGAGGCGGAGCAGTGTGTTGGTGCCACAGCCACAAGGCGAGGCAGGTGTTGGGGTGTGAGTGGCCTGGCTGCAGGGACCCTGAGGTAAGCTGGTCTGGGCCACGTGAAGCCTCTCCACCCTCCTGCCTCACAGTGGCGGCACTGGCGTGCCACATGGCCTCTGTGAGCAAGCAGAAGTGGGCCTCCCGTACCGGGGGGGGGGGAGAATAAAACACATCCAAAAATAAACTCTAGTGCTTATTTTGGGGCCCAAAAGAAAATAAAACCAAATCTTATTTTCGGGGAAACATGGGTAGGTAAAATTGCTTTACTCACATGCAAGGGCATTTCTCCTGTTTTAGTTTACATACTGTGATGGCAAACCTATGGCATGGGTGCCACAGGTGGCACACGGAGCCATATCTGAGGGCATACGAGTGTTGCCCTAGCTCAGCTCCAGCACACATGTGCCCGCCAGCCAGCTGATTTTTGGGCCTTCCGGGCCCACCGGAAGTCGGGAAATGGGCTGTTTCCGGCCTCCGGAGGGCCTCCAGGGGGCTTGAGGAAGGCTGTTTTTGCCCTCCCCAGTCTCCTAGAAAGCCTCTGGAGCCTGGGGAGAGTGAAAAATGGGCCCACTATGCCATCATGTGGCAAAAGCAGGGGAAGCTCAGGAGGAGCATGCGCACATGCGCGGGAGGGTGGGGCACCGGTGGGCATTGAATTATGGGTGTGGGCACGCACATGCATGAACCCCCCCGCTCTCCCCCCGCTTTTGGCACGCGACAGCAAAAAGGTTGGCCATCAACATAATCCTATATTTTTTCTTATGATTTTTTTCTTCCCTCTATTTTGAAATCATAGTCTAATAAAAAACAATATGTATGAAAACAAAAATGGAATCAATCCCATGATTACATATTAACTGATGAATTTTACCGCCTTAAATTAAATACACCTGATTTATTCAACCATTTAAAATACAGACTCTTACTTGTAAAGCCTGTGTGTCTTGGAAGCCCCAGTTTAGCATTTCTGCTGAGTTAAACCGGGATTAGCACAATGCAAAAAAAAATTCAGTCTAATGACTTTAGTTAATATGATACAAGCATTATAGTAATTAATCTTTCTTAAATATAATTAAATTATGTCTGTGAACAGCTTACCTTGGCTCCTTGCCTTTCTGTGAGGTTTATTGGGACTTCAGATTCCAGTCTTTTGGTATTGTAAAGCGACATAGCTAAAAATACTGTAGATATCTTCTTGTTCCATTCCCTAATTGCTAATCCTTCAAAACAGATACGTCACAATACACAGAAGTACAATTTTGAATTGTTAAAACAGCCTTACATAGAGGCATCTGCAAACTGCTTATGAAGCAGCCATACTAGCCAGGAGAAAAATGTGGCTGCTTTCATAATTTGAAAAAAAGTATGTGCTGCAATTTACCTCTTTCTAAGATTTTGCACAACCTTACTATTCATGAGTAGAACACAAGCATATATCAAGGCTATCTTACAAAAACTGTAGCATTCCAGGTCAATTATAACTAATTTTGATTGCAATTTGCAATCTGGATATTTATATGTTTCTAGGAATTGCCATCCAATTCTGTTACGTTTTTGATGTTGTAATAAATATCATTGATTTCTTGCATTTCCGAAAAATGTGCTTTAGAGTAGTGTAGCAGAAATATTTGTAGGTGGGAATGACCTGAGGAAAACAAGCAGAATGATAAGGTCCTGTAAGAAAAAACTTAGGATAAATAGTTGGGATATGTTTATCCAGGAGAAGACAAGCCCCCCCCCTCCCCAAATCTAGAGCCTTGGTAGTACAGGGGTTTAAGGCATCCTGTTATTAAGCTTATTAAGACCAGCTGCCTGCAATTACTGCAGGGTTCGAATCTCGCCAAGGCTCAAGGTTGACTCAGCCTTCCATCCTTTCTAAGGTAGGTGAAATGAGGACCCAGTTTGTGGGGGCAATAAGCTGACTTTGTATAAATATACAAAAGGATGAAGGCTATTGCTGAGCACATTGTAAGCCGCCCTGAGTCTTCGGAGAAGGGCGGCATATAAATCAAATTTAAAAAAAAAAAAAATCTGCTGGGGTTCTAGCCGGCTTCTTTGTGCAATTTGTTGTTTTCTGTGAGAACAGACTGCTGGACTAGATGAGCCAAGGGTCTTATCCAGTAGCTTATGTTATGTGCCAAATATGAGCTTTGGTTTTCTTGGGTAATTTGGGTCATTTAAACAAATATTTATGTCACACATAATGATTAGTATACTTAAAATATCCTTACTTTCACTAGTGGTTTATGGTCCATAGGCTGAAACCCATTGCAGTAAACCATCAGGAACTACAGAGCCTGTTATTTTGGATTGGATCCAGGCTAAATTATATACATATAACATACCAGTTACTTAAATTGCCAAAGAAAACAACTGGTAACCTGTGAAGGTTTTTCACCATGAGCCATTAACGTTAATAGCATGATGTATTTGAAACTAACGGAACATTACATCAGATTAGACCTACATTAAGTTCATTGCAACAGTAGAATTGTGATATAATTAAGATACAGATCACTGTTGCACATCTTTTGGCTCAACCTTGCCCAACTTATCATCTTTTAGATATGTTGCACTTGTGATTGCAACTTCCAGAATTCCCAACCAACATGCTAATTTAGAATTCTGGCAACTATAATGCCAACATCTAAGGAGTACCAGATTAAGGGATGTTCATTTATAATCATTGAGCTACAAAGTAACTTAGAGATCACCTAGTCTTATTCCTTATCCAGTGGGAATAAGGAATTCTATACTACAGCATCAGCCTGTGACTAAACACCTCCAACAAATAAGGGTCTATCATCTCCCACTTTGAACAGCTTTTATCATTATGAAATTTATGATGCCCAACTGAAATCTACATTCGCCCAATACTTCAAATATTGTTATTGCCATTTTTAATTATTTTGGCTCCTTTTCTATGTAAAAAGAGATGGCATTTGGACCTCCCAAAAACCTGAATGGGCCCAAGATGCAAACAAAGATGAGCACCTGGACACCACTGAATCATCAGCTCATGAATGTTAAGGTAAGTTTTAGGAACTTTATAAATTATGAATAATTTGTGTCCTTGCCCACTTTCTTAACATGTATGCAGGCCTCCAGCATGTTATGCAGCAATAGTATCAAGATCATTCTTGTGTGATTCTAATAAGCCCATATTCTGCTTGGAAAATTGTCCTAGATAGAACCCAGGTAATTGGCGTTATAGCAATACTTCAGTCTTTCTAAACTTGATATCCTTCACATACATTGAGACTATAAATTGTCATTGCCCGGCAACCTCACAATATTGCAGAGAGCCGTAATCACATGATCACATTTTCAAGCTTCACTGTGGGCTTCCCACAAGCAAACTCAGTGAGGAAACCAGCAGGAAAAGTTGCAAGACGCTCCCTCATTTTTCCCCAAAGGTGCTTTTTCAAGAGGCAACTGGACTTCCTTGTTTTTCTTTGAAGACATTTCACTTCTCATCCAAGAAGCCCAGTTGCTTTTTGAAAAAGTACCTTTGAGACCTGGATGACTGAGAATCTCCATAGACATCCCTCCTTTTCCCCACCACAGCAACCTCCCACCCACACATAGCCTATGTCAGCCCTCCCTCAATTCACTTTTGGCCGAGACTGGTTCTCCCCAAGCTCTACAGCCCTCTGTGGCATGCCTGCACTCCTTACCTGGGACTTCTGTGTCGTCCTGTGTGTTTTGGGGTTACAAAAGCAACCAGGAGGTCCCAGGATTCCCATCAGTAAATAATGTGGTCATGTGATGTTTTTCGATCATTGTATTGAACTGAAAATTGTATTGCCCAAGGTCTTCTGATGCAGATAGGATTCTGATCATTTCTTAAATTAGAATTGTCTCTTTTATCATGTTCCCCTGACAGCTTCATTTACTTAATTGTTTCTAATAATGTAATGAATCATTTCTTATTGAATCTTAGAAAAAGTAATTTTAAAATTAGTTTTATTTCTTTACAGGTATTTGAAGAAAGAAGAAACTTGTTGGGGAAATGGGTAATCATCTTTTATTTCAATTGCTCTGTCAATCTCACAGGCTTCAATATTTATTGTACAATAACTAGACGATGCTGGGAAATGTAAGCGTACTCCAAAACCCTTACAATCAGCATTTTTTACCATAGAATATAGTGTATGAATTGTTTTAAAAAGAGCATAACATTTATATAAGAGTATTTCCGAAATGGTACATTCACAGTGTAAAAGATTTTTACTTCCATAGTTCTATAATCAGCCTTCCCAAAAGAATGTCCTTCAGACAATTCCTGTAATCGAGGAAATACAGGAATTGTTTGAAGGACATTCATTTGGGAAGGCTGATTTAGAGGTTATTTATTCCTTATACTATACATAAACAATGTATTCTAGGTCTTCAAAAATATATGTTTCCCAGTGTGTATTCAGTATATAACAGTGTATATTATGCCACTTTTATGAAATTCTCAGTTGCACCTGACTTTTTTCTCTTAGGAATAAAGTTTGAACTAGGTGGCCAGTGATCCAGTAGAAAACTTTAGTATCTCTCAGTATCCTTCCTTCCTTCCTTCCTTCCTTCCTTCCTTCCTTCCTTCCTTCCTTCCTTTTATATAGCTTCCATACATTACTTTAGCAGCTTACAATAACATACCGTACATAAAATGTATTGCAATCAAAGCAATTGAGGAAAGTTATCATAGTCATAGCAGTACCTGAAGGAGTGTCTTATACAAGATAGCCTGTTCTCCGTCAAAAGACAGAATGCAGAATAATGCTCTTGTTATAGGAAGGCATATTCTGATTGAATGTTAAGAATATTTTAATACTAAGATCTGTTTGAAAGTGGAACCAATTATGGAGGGAAATGGTGGGCTTTCTTGAGTTGGATGTGTTCTAGCAGAGGCTGGACAATTATTTGTGGGAAATACTTTAGGAGCTTGACAGTTCCTTTCAACTCTTAAGATTCTGTGTTGCTGATTTTAATAAAAAGTACAGTGAATGGTGTCCCATATTGAAGACAAAGCAAAATGCGTCCTTTTTAAAATTATGCTTATGAACTGTCCACAAATACCTAGATTATCCTTCTAGAGGCAGAATGTGGCCTGAATGAATTCTTGGCAGACATTCGTGTCCTTTGCAACAAGGAAAGGTGCAGAGATCTTTCACTTTTGGAATGAGCTTAAGTTCATAATTGGCTTTGGAATTTATTGCTTGTAAACTATAATGAGGAAAAGTCAATTGTAAATGGCTCCTCCAGAGGTCATGAAAATCACAACTCTGTTTTTTCCCCACAGTTTGACAAGTGGACAGACAATCAAAGGCGAAGAGTCCTGACAGACTTCTTGGAGCACTGCTCCCTTTCACAGCTGAAATTCTGTTTCAAACTGCTCCAGGATCGAGTGCCAATTGAAGCACTGGATTTCACCACCCAGCTTCCCCGAGTGTTAACTTTGTACATCTTTTCTTTCCTGGATCCTCAAAGTCTCTACCGATGTGCCCAGGTAAAACTCAGCATGTTGGAAAGGATGCAGCGGAGAGATACAAAGCTGAACTCACTGGGTAGGTTTAGCCTAGAGAAGGGAAAGCTAAGGGGACTATGTTAACAGATTTCACATTTTCAAAGGAATTGAGGCAAAACAATAGTTACCTATGCTGCTTCATAAAAGGCACAAAGAAATGTCCTACTTAATACGTATTGATTATAGTTTAGGAAATATTTCCTACTGGAAAAGCTCCTTGATAACAGAATGAGCTGAGTAAGGAAGTGCTAATGAATTTCATTTGCATAGCTTTTCACAGTAAGACTGGTCAACTCCTATATGCCTTGATGGGGACATGGGAAGTAGATTAATTATCTGAGTCTTTTCCAGCTAGCAATTTTACAACACTTGAACATAATTGCAAGATCAGTTTAGAGTCACAGTGGCATCGATGAATTTCCAACTCATTGTTCAGGCTCATCAGCATACCTAATTTAGATTCTAAACTTTGTGGTTCTAGTTTCTGGCAAGTCCAGTTAAAAGATTCTCAAAATATATGTTTCAGTTGTGACCTTGGAGCCCCATTTTATGTCAGAATAAATAATAATGGGCTAGAATTATAGTCTTCCCTATCCTAAAGTCCTTTGAATGGATACAATTCTAGTAATGGCTAACCAGAATGACTGCTAATTGTACTAGCTTGGGATCATGCCAATTTTAGTTTAATATATGTAAAGCGAATCAGATTGGGTTGTAAAGTAGCCTTTATTGGTGACTAGGAGGACTCTTAACTCCTTTATAAAACACCTGTTTTATGTACAGAAGATTTCAAGCTCTCTTTTAAAAGAGATTGAGTGATCAAGGCTGGGAAAAACTCTGGAAATCATTGCTTGTGAAAACATGCAGTATTTGTTCAGCCAGACCAATGATTTACTGCAGTGCTGGACAGCTTTGTATGTAAATCAAAGCAACTTAATAACATAATAATCCTTCTTACTTATTGATGCAGATATTCTATAAGATTCTTCTTAAAGCAGCATTGACCAAAATAATTGCAGGAAATACATCTAACCACATACTGCAAATTAGAAGATATACAATTATGAAATGCAGCACTGACATATACTTCAAAAGTCTAGAGTCTAGGTTGTATCAAAGAGTATATATTCAAATGAATACTTCCTTGGAATTACCAATTTGAGTTAAAACAGCTTTGTATTTTAAAATTATCAAAATGTGTTTTGTATTTGGAGGATATGCCCCATATCTCATGGGTTTTTGCTATGCTATAGTCCTTTGAAGCACAGTAAAGGTGTTTTTGGCACTTTCAGGTAAATTGGCACTGGAACTATTTAACCCAGCTTGATCAACTCTGGATGCCAAAATGTCTGCGTTTTGGATGGTATATCAATTTCTCTCCAACTCCATTTGAGCAAGGAATCTGGAAGAAACACTATATTAAGAAGATAGAAGAATTTCGAGAGTCCAGACCTAAGGTATTTGTGGAGCCTTTGGAAGATGAGTATTTTGGGTAATAAATCTGTATGTTTATATTATATATTGGATGTTTGAAATTTCCATATGCAAGTTTGTTTTAGTAAACATAGGAAACATTCAGGCTTATAATTCCATATTGAAACAGAACAGTTTTATAAGATTGTACTAGATGTTATTCTGAAATTCTCAGACGATGTTGAAAAAGCTGGAGCAGATTTAATACAACTCAGTTATATTTCTAGTGCATAATTTGAAATTATCCAATTAAATACAATAGCCAGAGATTCTGGGCATACTCAATTTGTAAAGAATGGATGAAATTTATTCCTGCAAAGTATAATGATGGTCATAGACTTGTTTGGCTTTAAAGCCTGAAGACAATTTCACATGAATATATTTGTCATGGCTGGGCATGATCTCTAAAGAAAAATTACGTAATCAGAAATATTGGTACCTGACAAGAAAATATATGGGAAAAGGCTTTGTTTTCATCTCTAGTTAAGGAGGGATAATCTTGGATTGTTCATTGATTAATAAACAGCCATTTTGCTCAGTTATTTTGTGCCTTCAGTATCTGTAACAGATTCAGAGAGACTGTGAGTTATGGTGAACCAGTGCATTACTACCAGTGCACTACTCTTTTCAAGCAATAAATAGAGATACTATGGGGGACATTAGAGGAGAGACTCAGTATAGTATAGAATATCTATAACAGCTTTAGGGTTACTTTGCTTATGTTTTGCTTTCTTTAGACCCCACCAAAAAATGATTTTGTGGTGGTTGATGTTCAGCCAATAACAAAAGATGTCCCAGAAATAAAGCAGTCTTTGTTGTCAGTCCTCGAATCTGCATCTCTGTTAAGAAGAAAGATAAACAAAGGAAAGAGAGATCTCCCACCTTGGCGTTCATCAGATAAGCATCCAACAGATATCATTCGTTACAACTATTTGGATAACTTTGATCCCATTGAGCAGGCAAGGCAGGCGTAAGACACCTTTCTTCTTCAGTAATTTTCATCTATGTCAGTCTTTCTCTGGCAACAAAACCAGTGTTATGTTTCATGTTACATTGCCATCTGCATCAGCAGGAGCTGGTCAAAGGATTCTCCTATTTATCCTCAAAAGCCAAACCTTTTAGTCACTATTTCCTCATGTATCTCCTTTCAAGATTATTGTCACATCCTACCTAGTTGGACTCTAATTTCAGCCAGTAAAATATGAGCAGGGGTTCTTGTGATGGTCAGATGTTTTGGCTAAACCTGGGCTCCACCAGAATACTGAGAGAGTCATAGAAGACTTGTGTTGTCATCTTTAGATATGCATAGAGCAGCTCCAAGCACTGAGTATAATTTCGTTATGCTAGATCTGTCTTCATGTCTCTGACACTGAGCATTGCTAAGAATCTATGATGCAGCAAGGCCTTGAATACCCCAAAGATCTCATCAAGATTTTCTGATATTTTAATTGTTTGATATTTTCAGATCAAAATGAGCAAAATGGGGCTACATGGGGCTCCCCCTGAAGAGCACCCGGAGGCTCCAACTGGTCCAGAATGTGGCTGCGCAGGTGGTTATGGGAGCATCATGGCGCTTCCATGTAACACCGCTCCTGCGCGAGCTGCACTGGCTTCTGGTGGTCCTTCGGGTGCGATTCAAGGTATCGGTTACCACGTTTAGAGCGCTGCATGGCTTAGGACCCGGGTATTTACAAGACCGCATGCTGCTACCAATAGCCTCCCACCGGCCAACTCGCTCCCACAGAGAGGGGCTCCTCTGGGTGCCGTTGGCCAAGCAATGTCGGCTGGCGATCCCCAGGGGGAGAGCCTTCTCTGGGGGGGCTCCTGCCCTCTGGAATGAATTGCCCCCCGAGATGCGGAGGATTCCCGACTTGCGCACCTTCCGCCGGGCCCTCAAGACGCTCTTATTCCAACAAGCCAGGCTGGCCTAATTTTTTAAATTTTATTCTTCTTAAATTATTTAAATTGGGTTGTTTATTTTAATTACGGGCCAAACTATTTAATATTTTTAGACTGTTTTTTAAATTTTATATTTCTGGGTTTTATGCTGGCTGTACTCCGCCCTGAGTCCCTTTGGGAGGAGGGTGATATAAAAATTAAATTAAGAAGAAGAAGATTAAGAAAATAAGAAATCATTTTGCAGCCAACAGGTAATAACACTTTCAAAACAAGCCAACTCCAAGTTATGGATTACAAATTGATTTTTTAAATTCTAGAAACTACAGAATCCTGAACCATCTGCGTATCTGCTCTTAAGCCCTCATGCAATTCAGCTGTGTCCATGTTTTCTCAATTTCACTGAGATCAGGCTTATTTCAGAGCTAGTGCTTTTGTCCTAACTAGTCTCATTGCAGGTCAGGATATAATTTGATCCACAAATACAACTCCCCCATCTTGTCTGTCTTAAGAAGCCATTGTAGCTTTGTTTAATATATCCATTTTCTCCTCTCTTGCAGTAGAAGAAGAGGAGGAGGTCTCACCCCAGACCTCAGTCAGTCAGCCTTTCAGAAAAAGAGGAAACCAGGCAGTGGAACGTACAAACTCAGAAAAGCAAAGTCTCTGGCAAGTATTGTGATTGGTTGACTGTGTAAGCCAAGCAACAGACTCAGTGAGGAGTCCAACCCTCGGCTATTGGCAGCTTTCCCAATGCCCCTTTATTTGTGCCCCACTGCATTTCATTGCTGTTTGAGTATAACAGCCTACAATTTAACCATCAGACCTCAAAGCTTCTATTTAATCTTTGCATATAAATTGTTATCACTGCTGGCAAGTCAGGCCCTTTTCGGACAGAATATTTTTTGCAGAGTAGGGCTCACAGGAGGTATCCTCGGGATCAGCTTTTAAAGACATAGGCAGTAAGGAGAATATCACTGTGCAGAGTAAAGCCATGAATATAGTTACATGTTCTACTGGACAGTGTAATTAAGTTGTGATTTCCCCCCCTTCATTAATGATATTTTGCCAGTATGGGAACAGCAGTGCGCTGACAAAAGAAAACTAATCTCCTAATAGACAGATTATCATATTTCATTTTATTTGGAAAGTATTCAAGAGAATCTGATTCCAACCTATGTTCAAATTCCTTGAACTAAATCACAAGTGTCAAACTCGATAGCATCACGTGACGTAGAGTGACGTAGCACGATGTTTTTTGCCTTTACGGAGCCGGGGTGGGTGTGGTCTGCACGTGATGCATCCGGCCTGCGGGCCGCCAGTTTGACACTCCTGTACTAAATCCCTAAGAGATTGATATCTATGGAGATTTTCAATAATCCAGGTCATTGTCTCAAAGCTGTTTTTCAAAAGACAATGGGACTTTCTTGGTTTTTTTCCCTTGAAAAGGTTTTGCTTCTCATCCAAGAAGCTTCTTTAGTTCTGGCTGACTGGTGGGGAATGGAAGGATGACTCAGAGCTGGATTCTGACTGGACAATCCTTTTGAGATGACAGAAGCAAGGTCTGGTGTGTTTAACTGAGACAGGTTTGAATTTATAGATCCTGAGGAGGTAGACAGTGTCCTCAGATGCTAACCTAGCTACCTCTTTTTTTTTTTTAAGTCTCTGCCCCTCTTTGTTGGTGTACATGTCTGGCAGGTGATAGATTATTGGGTCCATGCTGTAGTCATGGATTCACTGAGGAGATCCTGTCACTGCAATCTTGAAGAGGACAGTGATGCACCACTTGGTAAGGGCCTTGGTAGTACAGTGGTCTAAAGCACCCTGTTATTAACACAGCTGCCTGCAATTACTGCAGGTTCGAATCTTACCAGGCTCAAGGTTGACTCAGCCTTCCATCCTTTCTAAGGTAGATTAAATGAGGACCCAGTTTGTGGGGGCAATAAGCTGACTTTGTATAAATATACAAAAGTATGAAGGCTATTGCTTAACGCATTGTAAGCCGCCCTGAGTCTCCGGAGAAGGGCGGCATATAAATCAAAATTAAAAAAAAAAAAACTTCCTCAAAAGGGCTTCACAGAATTTTTATTCAGTCTCTAACTTTTCCGTTTTAGAGAAGTTTGTTGAGAAAGTGATGGATTGTGACTACAGAGGGTCCTGGAGTGAACTGATTATCTGGACACCTTTCAGTCAGATTTCAGACCCAGGTGTAGTAGAAGGATAGCAATAGTTGTGTTTGTTAATGACGTCTAGAGGAACTGGGACCAAGATTCTTACTGATCTCTTTCAGTGCCATCAGCCATAGTGTTGTTCTGGTCTGCCTGCAGTGGGAGAATAGTGCTGAGATAGTGTCCTGCTTTTTCTATGTTTGGGTCCAGTCAGTATTGACAAGAAAGGAGAGCTTGAGTTCAAGCCTCTTGGTCTGTGGGGTACCTCTGGGCATTACACTCTTACCCTTTCTGTTAGGTACTGCACCTATTTAATCATTCAGTTTTTGACTTGTTCAGTGTCAGAATCACATTCCAGTAATACCTTCTAAATAAGTCCAATAGGGCTTCTGAATTTTGTGTTGTTAATTTTTGATCAGGTTTCTGAATGTTCCATCTTGATTTAGTAATTGTTCTGAATTATGTAATATATTTGAAGACACTGGAACGAATGAGATGTTTCTAATTGTTCTAAGGTGAGACAAAAAGTTCATCTTTATTCTATTAAAGATTTAATCTTGAATTTCTTGGAAAAGTATTTTCAAAATAGGTCTTCACCTTTCCTGACTTTTCATCATTACTTCTACTACTATCGTTATCATTATTAGCTTCTTATAACTTAAAGCTGAAAACACAGACACCTACATGGTTCCAAGTTGTCAACTATGGAATAATTCCAGTGTAGATATATTTAAATTTTTGGTTCCTGTTTTTGTTGAGCCATTTGTCATTTGTACATATTTGAAGAGCGAGTTCTGTAGTTAATTATTTATTAAGTAATTCAGTAATGATTTTTGGTTTAATGCTGGAATGAAATCCCCAATATGTGCTAGCTGAAGCCCAAGATTAACTTTATAAAACAATACAAAACACCTTCAAGTGTCTTATTATTTTCTTTGCTCTGAGGAGCCTTACCAAGGCTTTGTGAATTAACGTATTCTACTTCTACTTCCTCCTCCTTTAGCAACCTAACAGTGAATTATCAAGAACACCAGATTGTGGGAATCAGGTATATGAAGCCCATTGGAGCATTTGCTTTCCATTGCTCATTCTGTCCTTCCTCTGTTTCTGGGGGCAGAAAGGCAGGAGCAGATTCCCATTCTGCCAACCATCCTATCCTGTCATGCAGCATCAGTATCTTTGACATTTTAAGCTCTAGCATGCCCATCTGCTGCTCTTTCCATTGCTACCTGCCAATCATATTGCAAATTAATCTCTGTCATTCACAAATTGTCTCTAACTCTAGCTTTTTCAACCAAATGCTACGGAAATGGAAAATGCTGCTATTAGCCTTTCCAAGCTTAAACACTGTTGCCAGGCAAGCTTTATCTGTCACAATATCTTTATAATAAGTGCTAGAGAAGATATTAGATAAATAAATTAAGGCTGCAATCCTAAAGTATGTCTCCTTCTGATTGGAAATCGTAAGTCTTGTTGATTAATGTGCTTCTTTGTTTTGCATTACTAAGCACTAGCTATCATTGGGGTTAATAAATAGTATCCGCAAAGTATCACTTCAAATTTCAGGTCTGAAATCACAGGCCATGACAGAATGTCCTGTCATATAAAGATGAATGGCTTCCTGCGGATGTCTCAAAGTAGGATTCTCGCAAAGAATCAGTGACTGTCACATTTTCATTGTGATGGGTGACATGCAGGCTGCATAGATAAATGCAGCATTTTATAACCTACAAATATCCAAAGTTTGGATTTAATGGCATTTTCAGTCTAATCTCCCTGCTTGTTGGAGCCAGTAGCACTGCAGGAGCCCAAACCAACCATATGTGAAACAATTCTGTCATAGCATGAATGGGACAGATGAGTGAACATTTGGATCACATGCTTTTCTGGCCAAGAGGGACAGATGAACAGAACATGGACATTTATTTCATGATCTTTTTATGACATCTGAATTAAGGCCCTAGTGCTATGAGCCACAGCTTGAGTTTTGTTTCTTAATATGGGGAGGAAACAAGCCAAGGATCCCAATTCAGACAGCACAATAAATTAAGACAGAGTTTCAGTGATCTGTTTGTCTGCTCCTGGTAGGAAGAGTGAAGTGCAAGGATTTGAAAAGAACCCAAAGGTACACCAGGACATTTAGGTTAAATTAGAGACTTCCAAAACTTTAATTTGTTTTAACATGCAAAAGTTAATGTTGTAAAGTCAGAAGTGTGCTTTAATAGCTTAAGGATTATTTTTGTTCCAAATTGTTTTTTGGTTCAAAGAAAGGAGATAGCTGAATTTCTGAAGATGTTATTATTTGTAACACTTGTTTATCATCATTACTGTTACAGAAGTAAGAGATAAAAAATAAATGAACAATTAGGGGAAATCTGAACCCAAAGCCAAAATACAGTCATAGCCAGAGACCTGTGGACATAAAGAATTATGGCTGCCTATTCTGAAAATGCAAAACCTATTAATTTCCAATTAAATTGGAAATGTAAAGTTGAAAATTAAATTGGCTTACTACTATTTTCCAGGTTTGTTTTTAAAAATTTCCTCTAATAATTTTTAGACCTAGTGTTCTTCGATGGTCTGCCTTTCAAGTGATAACCAGTTCCAAGTCCACTTAGCTTTCTAGCCTATACCAATATATCTGGTATAGGTGCTATAACCTATTGAAATTCTGATCTTGAGCTGATTAGAATAAACTGGATTTATATCAGTAAAGCCAAAAGTAAAAAAATTTAGTCTCTCTTACACGAATTTAGAGTTTATCCAAAGTTCTATAAAATACCATTCCAAGATTCTTCATTCTACCTATCATGTTGTGATCATACTGCTTTTATCTTACAGGGAGAAATCCCCGCCCATTTTTTTCCCAAATATTTGTAATTTATTTGTAAGACTATTTAGTAAAAGATTCTTTATTGCTTCATTAGACCTCACAATAAGAGCCTCATTAATTCCATTCCATTCCATTTCTATAACCACCCAACTCAACCACATGATTCTGGGCAGCTTACAATTCTAAAATTACAAAACAATAAAGAGTAAAAACATTCAAAAATACAGGTATATACAAACATCTAGAAATACATATAAAGGCAACGGAGATAACTGTTTCCTCTCATTGTTTCTTTCTCTTGTCTTTTTGTCTATCCTCCCTTCTTCCTATTAACTGTGGGGCAAACCCATGGCCTAATTGATTATAGCGTATTAGGAGGGGAAAGGTGGGTACTGTAAGGGCTTGAGGAATTGTGGAGATCCAGCAGGTTGGACATAGGAAGATTCTGGGTAATGCAGCTGAAACTATACCTTTCTACTGCTAGCTTTACTTCCTAATTTTTAACTCCTTTTAAACTTAACACACCTTTAAGAGTCTTCCAGTTCACCAAGGGTATCTGTAGGGTCAAGGGGAAGCAAATGATGAAATGAACATCACAACACAAATTCTGTGTCAGGTTTCGATGCTATCTCAAAATAAATGAATTTCCAAACTGCCGATCTTTGAGGAAATTTTCTCTTTATTGAGCATAGTGATCTGTCCCTGGCTCTTTCACGGTCAGCACTGACCTTTTGCCCCCCAATCCCTCCCTTTCCGATCCCCAATTCTCTGCATCTCATTGACTCTCTTCCAAGCCACTCTCCTCATCCCATCTCCATCAGATCACAGGAATGTCCCCCCCTCCTCCCATCTCCGAGGAAACAGAATCTTCAAAGGAATTAAGTAGGCAAAAGTTCAAGCTTCTCCTCTCCTTTTCATATGTCAGCGCTGGAACGCTGACATCCTGCACATTGTATGTAACTTACAAGAACAAAAAGATAGAGCTTGCACTGTGACATTACAACATGCATTTCATGGTTTTGCTATCACTGTGTTTAGGAATGGATGACTATGTTCTCACGTACAATGAGGCCCAGGATTACATAAAAACTGAAATTTTCAGGATTCCATATTAAATTTTTGGAGAACATTTTGATATAATTATGGCTCTTCATGCTCCAGAGTTTACTACCCCCAAGAGCATTTTAGCAGTCAGCATTATTTACTATGGCGTACACTCATCCACATCCCTTAGCAGAAAATACTTGACAATTAACAGCCAAATCTAGGCTCAATACAAGGTACCTCTTGGAGTTCATCTATCTTTTTCAATTTTATCACTAAAACCATGGAAATAAAAGCTTCATTTTCATGTTTACCAAAAATGTCATCACTTGCTCTGTTCCAAATTTCACGTTTATATGCTTTGTTTCTTAGATGTCCCTCTCAGCAGAACTTGACTCAGAGGCAGAAGTGACAGTTCGCCCAAGCTGGGCTCAGCATCAGCCAAACAGCTACCCTCTGACTAAATCAACAGCTAAAATGTTTGCTCAGAGTGCTCAGTGGAATGCTGAAATACGTCCTGCGCCTGCTCGAGGGCCCATCCCAAAACTGAGTGAGAAAGGAAAGAAAGCCTTTGCCCGAACTAACAGAAGCTCACCAAGTCAGTAAACTGTTGTTCATTTAAAATAAATATGGGGTGGGTGGTTGAAAATGAGAGAGGGATGAAGAAAAAATAAGAGGTGCTGTCTCCTCTAATGTTTGTGCCTTGATTTGAACTTTACGGAGAGCCCATTTGGATCTCTCCTAAATCTGAATGCTGTAGACCAGAGGTCCCCAATCCTCATGCTGCGGCCCTCTCCTGGGCCGTGGCCCATTCAGAAGCGGGCTGTGGAAGTGATGGGCGAGGGTGCGCACACACACAGTTCCACTTATACGCTCAGTGGGCAGGTGAACAGGCGCACACAGCTCCATTTGTGCGAGCAGATTTTGCATGTGTGGTCACTGCTTGTACAAATGGAGCTGCGTGTGCCCGCCTGCTGCTTGCACAGAGCCCTCCTTTCTCCCCTCCCAACGGTCCACAAAGCCAGAAAGGTTGGAGACCGCTGCTGTAGATGACAGAAGAGAATTTGCTTAGGTTTGCATTCCACTTGATGGCATCCTAAATTGATTGATTCTTGCAGGAAACAGCATGCTTGACTAGATAGGTCTCTGATCTAATAGTATGTTCTTAAATGCAATGTATAGGATAAAGGTAGGAATTTTCTTAACGCTAAGATTAATTATTTAATCTCCCACCCCCTTCCAGCATCACCACTGTTTGAAAGTCAACCCTGGGAAGTTCCATCATCCAGCTATGTATCTGATGCAGAGCAAGAAGCTGAAGAAAAGAGAACCTCAGCATCATTACTGACTTAATCTCCCAAAAGAAAAAGTGCTTATTCAATTATTGTTAAGTGAAATGCCTCTTTCTCAAAGTTGGTGTTTGGACAAGGTTTAAGAATCAAGTAGATGACAGATTTATCATCAATTAGTGGATATCTTGGTTTTAAAAATTTGTAGAGCCAGGAACTTGCCATGTGGCCTTGGATGGTTTCCCAGCCTCAGTTACTAAACTGTGGATTGGAAATTGTCTTAATGTACCAGTTTTTCATAGGAATGTTGTGAGGATGAATGTTATAGGGATTACAACAGCTCAATTCTGCATAGGTTTATTTATGTACTCGGTGAAATTTACAGATAACTGAGTAAACAATTGCAGCTGAAGGTATTTAGAAACGAGAACAATGCATCTCAATGCAGAATTAAAAAAAGTTGAAAAATGGGGGAATATTTAAAATTGGTGTATATCATAATAAATAATAATAGCTAAATAACTATCATGATCTGTGCCAAATGTAGTTTTCACATCCATTTTTCTATCTTCTTTTCTTTCTGTCTTATCATGAATAAAATGAGTAAGTATTTAATATATATGAGCAAAAAGGCAGGCTGTATATTAAATAAATAATTGTCACCTCTTCAAGACTGCCATTATTAGCACGGAGTTTGAAAACTCTTTGGAAGGAGGTCAATCTTGCTTTGCTGGTGCTGTTTGAAAAAAAAACATTCTGTAATGTGACAATGTTCACAGTCCACTGGAACATGCAAATTAACTTGGATATAAAATGAGAAAGGTCAAATATAAGACCAGGAATATAATGTACCAATTCATCAATGATGGTTATGATGCTGACATTTTAATGTAACCCAGTGTGCAATAGCTACCAGCACCTGTTCAATAACCAAGCTATAGAAACATGATTTGATTTTTTTTTTTTAAAAAACCCTGCAATATAGAATGAGAAAAAGGCATTAGCTTGTCACGTTTTGTTTCGTTTTTAAATTATACCCAAATAGACTGACCCAGACTCAAAAGAGCCACAAAAGCCCTGGATGAGTAATTTTTTTATAGTTCCCTAGAAAGGTTGGGAGATTTTTCAAAATAAAACAAGATATAAAAGTGAAATGTGAAATTTACACATCTATAATGCGAGTGTCGGATCTGCCACCACACCACCTCAGCCCTGCTTCGCTTTGATGGCAGCCTGCATGTGGCAGGAACCAGAAATGCCAACCAGAGACAGCGGTTGAATGATCCAAGGACGCCAACATGGTAATGGAAAGCAAACACCCACCAAAGGGGCGCCAAACGTAGAATTGTTACCACAACAACTAATTTGAAGTTCATTAGACAATAGCAAGATGACCAAGGGAGAAGGCCCAGAGAAGGAAAAAATAGTGGCTTTGCATGAGAATTTTCAGATCTGGCTTTTCCTATACTGTAATCACTTGGCTGTAGTAAAAGTATACCTTTCGCAACAAATGGAAGCAAGGGTCTTTCTTTCCTAAATGTCCAAATTGAGAAAGGCCTAACACCGAGTGCTTGCTTTTTGACTCAATCCTATATTATATTGCTATTGTTGTTATATTATTAAGTTAAATACTATTATTACAACCACCACTATATTCTATTATATTGCTATTCAATTACCATTATTATATTACTACTAGCAATGCTTTTTTCTTGCATTACTTTCTGTCTTAATTCCTCTCTGGGATTTCTTCTGCTTTTTCTTTCCCTGTTAATGGCTAACACTTTTCCACATTGTGCTTTGTGGTGCCTCTATACTACTTTTTCCTCTGGACCATCCACTCCTTTTGAAAGCAAAACACCTTTTATTTGGCACTGTTCTCTGTTTTCTGTGGTTGCAGAACTTCCAAAACACATATCTCCTCCATTTTCTTCTCCCATCTGTTTCAAAGTTGTAGCTTTATTGGCAACTCTTCTATTCTGATGCTGGGGGGGGGGACTCATATGGGAGTGGGGGAGGCCACATAGGTGGCTGCAATTTTTATAAGCAGCCTGCTCTTCCATAGAAGAGGAAGAGGGATCATGGAAAGGGGAACTAATGTAGCAATCAGAAGAACACCAATAGAGCCAGTTTAGTCTAGTGGTTAAGGCATCAGGCTAGAGAGCAGGAGACCATGAGTTCAAGTCTTGCCTTAGCCATGAAAGCTGGTTGGGTAACTTTGGGCCAGTCACTCTTCCTCAGCCCAATCCACCTCACAGGGTTGTTGTGAGGAAAATAGGAAGAGACAGGTGTGTTAGATATGTTCACCACCTTAAAGACTAGATATATGTAAATAAAAACCCTTATTTTCAGAAACACAAAGCAGGAGAAATTTAGTTTAAAGGGTGCTTTCTTCTAAATATTACTGTGACAAAATCCAGCCTTTGAGGTTCTATAGGAAGGCCTTTACTATTACATATACATTTTGGAACTGTTGGGGAATTACTGTTTATATTTAGTTTGGAAAATGTTTGTCCCCATGCGACTAAACACCTTCAAAAATGATCTGTTAAGAGTCCAGTTTACATTCCTTGGGGAAGAGTAAATAAAGTAGTGCACATTTTGAGGATTAAGAAGTTTGCTCATTCAAATGAATCAAATATTGACAAAGTGATAACAGAATAGAAAGCAAATGTTGATAAAACATTTCTTATGAACAACCTTTTACTAGATTATACGCAGTTCAAGAAAAGTTTTCAGGCATCTGAGTTGGCTCAAAAGAAATCCAAAAGTGACAATTCAGTTTAGTGCAAGACAAAATCAAACATTGCATTTTGCATTATATTGACCTTTATAGTTTGGAAAGATGATACGGTCTTACTTTGTTTCTGTAGCCTCTGACTGAACTTTGAGAACTTTAGATTTAAAAAAAGGTTTCCCTTAGTAAACAGTATGTAAACTTTGCAGGCAATGTGCATAATGTGGATATCTTTGATAGGGCCAATGTAGATGTTCACCTCCTCCCAATTCTTCTGCAAATTCCATTATTATACACTTGCCTCAGATGTGCCAGTAAGTTCTACTAGTATTGATGAGGAGGTTTGAAAAGCATGCATAATGGGTTGCCTGATTTCACACATCATAAAAACCATGATATCCATAGCCTGACAGCTATTTGGTGGGCTGGAGGGAGTGCTGTTTATATCAGGGGTATCAAACTTGCGGCATCATGTCATTACCTGACATATCATGACTTTTTCCCCCTTCGCTAAAATGGGGATGGACATGGCCAGTGTGTGACGCATCCGGCCCATGGGCTGCGAGTTTGACACCCCTGGTTTACATGGAGACAACAGAAGGTGAGAAAGTGAATTATTTATTTATTTATTTATTTTTAATATATGGTAGAATTATGGTAGAAATGACAGAAAGTATCTGTGGCTTGGGTGGTAGATGGTGGTGGTTTGTTCTCCGAGCTTGCTGTTTAGCTTCTGAACGTTTTGTCACCAGTCTAAGGTGACATCTTCAGCAGGACTTCAGTTGAAAGTTAAAACACCAGATTCCTTGTCAATAAGTCACGGATCCCAATTGTAAGTGCCTGCAAGCTCAGGGCTGGCTAAGCTCACAGGCTGCTCTGCCAAAAGGGCAGATGTGAGGGTTGGAAAAGAAGATTAAGAACTATGGCAGATATCAGAGCACATGACAAAGAGAATACTGCAGAGGAATTCCCTTATTGAGGATTGTAAAAATGAATTTTTCACCTGTCTATGCTGCCTTGTTGGGACCTGCTGATTTGTCAGGCATTAAGTAGAGCTTGTTCCTCTATTGGAATTCCTTATGGGAAGAAAGGAAGGTGCCAGAATCTTCATGAGTAGGGAATTGTCAGTTGCCTGTTTGCTGAGGCCTGGAGGCCCAGTGAGTCTGCTGGTGTGAAGGAGGATCTCAAGCCTCTAACTACTGCTCCCTATCTCGTTTTTCTCTCTTAATTTGAATATTTTATGTTTGAGGATTTTTCTCTTACATGCTTTGTTTGGACTGCTAAAAGAGACCCTTTTGTTTTCAGCCCTTGACCCTGAATGCTTAAGAGTGCAGTAAGTTTTTTATTTTGCTGTTACTCATGAGTCAGCTCCCCACCTCTTTCTACAGGGGAGTTTGCCCTATGGATTAACTCTCTTCTTTCCATGATGTAGGTGCTGAGGGCTAAGGTATCCCTGGGTAGAAATGCTGATTATGCCAATAGCCATCTGCTACCTAGAGCCCAGCTGGAGAAAAGCAAAGCAAGGCTCTTTAAACCATGAAAAAGACAGGGAAAGCAAATACTAGATTTAAACCAGGGTGCGTATAAAAAAAGGAATTGCATTTTTTTGTGTGGCAAGTGCAATCAACTTTTTGCAGTGACCTCCAGGTTCACACTGGGGAGAGTGACTGCGGGTGAAGGTTTGTGCATACAGAGTGGTGATAATGGGTACATGGTTCGTGGTCGATTGGAAGAAGAGAGAGTATAAATCCTGAGCTCCTCTACCAATTCAAGTCATATTCACTGGCATACAGTTCTCAGTCTACTCCACCATCTACTTACATTCAAAAATTGTCCATCCTTTATCTAGCACTCCACCACCAACCCTATTCCATTTACAGTGCACATTTGAATAACCATTAAGGAAATTTACATCACTCTTGAAAATCCTTTTCCACATTTTTATCAAAATACTCTCCAGGGAGAGACTGGAGGGAAGGAGTCAGAGCTCCAAAACTGACAAATGTTAAGAACAAAGAAGAAAAGAGATAGTCTTGAGGAGTAACCTTAGAAAGACAGAAAGGGGAGTAATTAAATAATCTAATGCCATCTAAGAAACAGCTGGGTCACTTGATTTTAATTGTGGATCCATCTGGATTTTATTTTAGAATAGAAATCTAATATATACAGACAGACAGAAGATCAATGTTCTAATAAATCATGCATGTGCATAAAGGGCGATACTTCCTTCACCTATGAAATAATAGCAACACTCCTTTATAAGATCAGCTAAACCCAAAATACCAATATGGAATACTTTCTAAACCCAAAATAATTGATTTTTGTCTCAGTTGTTACCTCATTTTCATTGCAGCTATACAGTTGGCTAGTGTGATAGGGATAACATGGTTGGCATCTGAAAAGAGAAGGCTGACCATAATAGCATACCAGAATTGGCTAGTTTGAAGACAACTGCAAATCATGTAATTCTTTATTTCTAAAAATTGGGGAATGGAATGGAAGCAGCAGAACGGAATTGCCCAGAGGGTCACAACATAATTTTGAATAAAGAATTGGGGAAAGGCAATCATTGTCCAACTATTTATTGTATCTCCCTTAAGAAAATGAGGAACATGGACTGTATTCTAATGGATCCAAAAATGTTCCCCCTTCTGTTACTTTTCCCCCTATTTACCCAACACATTTAAATGGACTTATGGGCAATATAAAAGCAATGTGGTCTTAGCAGCTTGGTTTGGCATCAGATCCCAGCAAATAAGTGTTTATCCATCCAACAAGAATAACCAATGGAGAACTCCTTAGTAAGGGGCTTGTCCATGTCATGACCACCTCCTCTACTTTATCCTTCAATAGAAGACTCTTTCCAGGTAAGTATTCAGAAACATTCCTCTGGGGTCTAATTTCTCCCGAATGCAACAGAACTTCTGAAAATCTGGGTACATCTTCTCAAAATCCTTCCGGGTGCATGCATGGGCCTGGTGACAGAAAATATGTTTTATGATATTGGTCTTGAAAATGGTGTCAACAAGCATAGGATCACAACATCTACACAGAAATAATTCACCTGTTACCCTCTCGATGTGATTATATTGGCTATGGGAGTTGCAAGTTGTAACCCAAAACTTTTGGTAAGCATCCGTCAATAATTCCTGATAGTAATTACAGATGGATGATACTGTAAAATATATCACTCTGTCTATGTAAAGGGACATGGTGGCTCAGTGGCTAAGATGCTGAGCTTGTTGATCGAAAGGTCAGCAGTT